CCAGTGTCTTGTGCAACGAAAATGACCCATATATGCCAAATGGATCTTCTAAAGTACATGATGTTGCAAGTTGTGAGACTAACTTCATGCTGCCAGATCTGAATCTTCCAATTGAGGATGATCCAGCTTGTGGTGTTCATGGAATTAGCGGAGATGTAGATTGATATTCATTTTTTTGTTGCCCCCAAAATTAAGTGGAGTTAAAGATCAGATGCAGCAGTATATATGGTTAATAATACATGATAGTCCGAGCCGCATAGCCATGTCATGTAAGTACTAAAATCAATTCCTTCACCGCGCCTGTTTTCTCTAATGAAGGTATTGATGGCAGTGTAGAGACTAGAGAGCCTAACACATTAGATAGAGTCAGATTCTTTTTCTTTGCAGGTTTCTACCTTTGGGGCTAAACCCTCATGGCCTCACATCCCTTCTCTTCTTTTTCACATTAAATGTTTTAACTGAACTGATAATTATTTGTAATTATTCTATAGATAATTGCATGTCTGGGTATGAAGCATATGTTTGGGTACTTTGTTAATCTAATTTTATGGTGTGACTCGTCTGCTTTTACTCAATTGTGACTGTCTGCTTTTACAGTAAAATATGTTAAGGATGGATTCTATTAATAATCTTTCATGTTAAACTTATTTCTAGAATTCAAATTTAAAATATAAATTTAAAAATTTAAGTTCTAATTGTTGAAGTATTCCCTTAAAAATGTGAGTTGGATTTTGGCAAGGACTAAAGCATCAAATCGAATCTTTAGGAACTTCGGCTGATCCGATCAAATAAAAAACATTAAATCGTTTAATATTTTAAAAAATTGTTTGTACATTGTCAATAAATTTTTTATTTAATAACTGAAAATAGTGAAGTAATACATATTTTATTTTTTAAATATATATTAATGGGTATGTATTACTTATTAATTTTATGTTTAAAACTAAAAATTTTACTATTAATATTGTTAATAATTTTTCTTTATTTTTATAAATTGATCAAATAATCAATTAAATGGAATTGAACGATTTTTAAATATTTATTTAATTTAAAATTTTTAACTGATGAGATTAGAATTTTTTGTTTTTTATTTAAGATTGATTGTTATTCATTATTTTTTAATACACTCATTATCACCGTTTACATCTGTAAGATCCAATTGTGAGTTTCATTGTTATAAATAATGATTAAAGTTATATTAAAGATTAATGGACAACAAAGTAATGAAGAGACCTATTTATTTTGGATTAAAAATCTTACCATTGAATCAAGTGTTTAAATTTTTAGGTTAAAATAATAAAAAAATCATTTAATTTTATCTTTTCGTTTAAGTTTTTATACTTTTATAACAATCAAATAAATTATTTACTTTTAATTTATATTCAAATAAACACTTAACTTTTAATTTGTGTCTAAATAAATTTTTAATATTTCATTTGTACTTAAATAAATTATTGATATAAATCAATATTTTATTTAAAGTAAGATTTTATATGAATGTAAATGAAAGGATGAAAATTTATTTGAATATAATAAAAATATAAAAATTTATTTAAATAAATTAAGTAATTAAAATTTTTTTTATTATTTAACGTTATTTTTATTAAATATTGACTATATTTAATGCTTAATTCCGAAACATGTATTTAATATTGATACGATTATTTTATTAAATCGACCTATTTAAATTATTGAATGAATATTAAATCACTTTCAACCTCCGTTTAGTTTCATAAACATTGAATGTTGCTAAATAACGTCTGGTGATAGGATACACATTAAGGTGTATTACTTTAAGAAACCTGTATTTTTCATTTAATTCATTGTTCTTGCCCAATTGTTTTAAGAATACATTGCATTTAGGTAATATTTTTCTCAATCAGTGAGGTAGATATTTTAGACTTTAAAATATCTCAAAGCTCTCTAAGATATTTCAGTCTTTTTGTCGATTTGACGTGATAAAACATGAGCTTTGGAACACAAATATCAGAACCACTTCCGATAGTTGTCTCGAGCCCCTTTTGTCTTTTTCAAGTGACTGCAATGCACTCATCCGAATTCTTAAACAACAAAGATTAACGTTTCCCATTGAAAAATATAATTACAGAAAAACACTCATGATGGGAGGGGGGGGGGGAGGTGAGTGTACATACCACAATATACAGCGAAGCCTTGACAATTGCCATGATTATCCTAAAGAGGTCAATTATAAATGCAACATTAAATTCCTAAAGTAGTTTGATTAATGAACAAGTGGCAAGTGAAGTGCACATTCTAGACTACTAGGCAAATGGAAAGATGTAAAGTTAGATTCCATGGTCCACAGAATATCTATCTATCTATCTTGAGACAAGACACGAGGACATTAGTGTCAAGTGCCCACAGATTTACAATATTTACATCAGGCTGGATTCAGATTCAGGGGCTCAGCTCAGGCCTTGTTTTCCTTTCAGTAGTGGAGGAGAAGCGGATAGGCGAGTTTCAGTGTGAAAATCTGGCTGATGGGAGGCTGCAGGAGGTGGAAGCCAACTCAGTACTGTAAATATTACTATATATATTCCAGTATTTCAGTCAGACTCAGGTTTCTGAGTGAAAAGCTAAGATTGGAGATACTCTGATGGCAATGACAGACAGACAGACAGCAGCGAGGCAAAATGGTAGATTCATTGTCAAAAAGTACGTCCATTTTTCATCTGTATGACTGGATCTAAATTCTAAAGCTTCGGCTGTACATAGATCAATCTTACATGACATGCTAGCCCAGCTAGACAAATGGGAATTTAAAGGCAAGTGTGGGGGCGTTTTGGGCCGTGTAGGTAAAATTCGTAAGCAACAGCTCAATGAATCTGTGGCTTGGTTAAGTCCAGGTTCGTTTCTGGAATTTAGTAATGTAGGCCTGAAAGAACAGCCACACTGATCTGAATCGAACCAAAAGCGCTTGTTTCTGAAAGATCAGGATGGTCATGGATGCAAAGTTCAATGGGCTTTTTAATTTTACATGAATAGAAAAACCATGTGAAAGTTGGCTCAAAATGTGGACAAAATGTCAATTTTGGTTCTCATCTCGTTGTTTTTAATAAGAAACTTTTTGATGAAAAGGTAAAAATTAAGGATTTATGTCGTAATTTCTCTCATTTGACTAGAAAGGTGATACCATATATGTTAGTAGGTCTGTCCCTGTGTTTTTATTTGGTGTTTGGTCCAATTTATGGAAGGTCTTTTTTACTATAAAAGCTAAAGATAAGCGTTTATATCTCAAAATTTTAAGATTTTTCACTTTGGTGAGAAATTTATTTGTGTTTTTAGATGAAGTTATAAATAAAAAAAAATTATTCAAAAAAATAATAATGTCTAGTAACAAATATTTAATATTTTTTACATCCTTTCCTCATCATTTAATAATTCATAAAATTATAGGAAGAATTATATTATTTTAAATTCATATTTTTTATTTAGTCTAATTGTTCTATTGATTTTGTTTATTTCATTTAAAACTTATGATTTAGTTTAATAAAATAACTATTTTAATTTTCTATTAAAATTAAAATATGTGAAAATACTATCAAATAATTTTAATATTTTATAACACTTCTGCATTAAATTTTTAAAATGCTATTTTAAATTTTTTTTTTACAACACTTTCAAAATAATTCTACCCGAACGAGAAACTCTAACTGGATCAAAGAGACCATTTTTTTGTTTTAGCCTTTTAGCTATGTTAAAAAAAAAAAAGACGAAAAAAAAAGGATAGGACTTAAGGTTGGCCTTAGGGCTTTTCAAGGCCCAAAGGTTGAATTAGGCTTGAAACGAGCTAAACTAAGTTCAATACAAGCACACCATATATGTTTTTTAGCTGATTTTTTAATTATTAGATTTAATGATTAGTTTTATTTGTATATTTTAACTTATAAAGCAGTGATGTATTCTCATTTGTTAAAAGAAAAGTTGTTCAACCTTTGTTTCACAAGAACATTTGTGGAGGAGTTGATGTGATTGACGATTTAATGGGTCCCGGTGCATGATTGAATATATATATATATATATATAAATATATTAGTGACATGCATCAATTAATTTGACGATAATTAGTTTTCAATTGAAGTAATCCAGGTAACTCGATTGATATAAAACCTTGGTTGGAGGAATACTAGCCTTTTCCCACTGTGCTTTGTTTGTAAGATAGATTATTTTGTACTGGTACTTGATTAACAGTGATGATGATGATTATCTTTCAGCTTTATGTTGTTGTTGAAACTAGGTTTATATAGTCCAGCTACTACTTGCATGAAATCAGGTTGAACAAAAGGTCGCCACCCCGACCTTCCCTCAGCTTTGCTAGGCCACCTACGTCAGAGAAAAGGGCTAGCAGTGTCCTGGATTTTGTTTGCTTTCCAAAAGTTTGTTCAACAATTATGACTTGTATCCATAGACATTTTACAAAGCAAAGACATGAAGAAGAAATTATTGGAATCTCCACATCCTCGTGGGTTTCGAGTGTTGCAGATGATTAGCATCTTATATAAAATATGTGTATTGTTTACTAAAACTACAACATCAAAATTGCTTTAAAAAGAAACTACTGGTATAATTAACTTGTAGCTCTTCTTAGATTTGCAAACATAGGCAAACAAATTAAGAGAGAGTAAGCTCAAGTAAAAGATTCAGTTCATCGTGCAACAAGAAACCATCTGGCATCTCTTCTCTGGGGCTCACTAACTCAGTACTGCTGTGAATATTATACCTAAAAGAAAAAGCTACTAAATCACTGTGTATATGCAATTCGTGCACTCCACCACCAAAAAAATGCTTCAAACAATTTTCTCTCTCTCTCTCTCAAGGCTATGCCACTCTCAGTTCATGTTCAACACAAGAACCAAAGAAAAGAAAGATAAAGCATTCAAACACAGGCAAAGGAGATTAATTTACTACAATAATGTCAGTTTCTTTCTATATATTCATTATATGTTTATATATTCCTAGATTTAGACTACTAACAGCCCATAAAAGCCATCTCCTTTGCTTTAATGCACACTCTCATGCAAAAACAAAGAGGTATCTTCCCACCATGATTACATTTAGTTACTAGAAGCCTCGAAAAAGGACGTTTAAGAAGGGAAGTAAAAAGAAGCTACTGATAGGAAGGAATTGACTGTTTGACTAAACCAGTAATATTTGATGTAGTACCCTTGCTATTAAGTCCCACACGCAACTTCAACTCCAGTTCCACATTTACTTTCCCTTCGTTTCTACCAAAGCTACTATTAGAACTGAACAAATGAGCCACGGAGGTAACCACCGCGCATTTCCTCTCGCTTTTAGCTTTACCTTTCACCTTCTTCTTTGCATCTGTAGATGAGGACGAAGCAGAGAGTGATGACAGACTTAAAACCGATGGAATTTCAAAGTTGGTCTTGGCTTTTGACCCTCTCAGCCACCTCGCCGCCGCATCATACGCACGGGCAGCCTCCTCAGCCGTGTCGAATGTGCCTAGCCAGTGCCGGCACCTCCCAATACGGTCGCGTATCTCTGCTGACCACCTCCCCCATGGCCTCTTTCTTACACCTCTGTAGCTTTTCTGCACAGAAACAGCAGGAGTGATCATCAGGTTTCTCTTGTTAGACCCGAAACGTTGTGACACCGAAACGAAGCCCGACGTTTCGAGTTTACTAGCGTCAGCATTGGAGGAAATTACATTGTTGCTGTGGCTGTTTGCGGTGGGGTTGGCTTTGTTGTTACCAAAGAGAACGTGTTGGCCAACCACAGCGGCTATCCCATCAAGAACTGGAGGCGTTTCGATACAATTACTTTCGATTATGGTTTCAGGTTTATTTTCACGATTCTTATCAAAGCCATTGAGCGAAAAAACACTCGGAAATTCAGAGCAAGCGAGTAGATCGTTTAGCCTGTAAAAATGGGTAGGGGCTATCATTGAGGAACAAGAAGATAGGTCAGAAGAACCACCAGGAGGCTTGTAAAGGCAAGGCGTTTCAGTTGTTTCAGACGTTTCTGGCCTATGGAAGAATGAAACGGTTTGTAAGAGATGGTTATTTACAATTGAAGGGCTTTGCATCGTAGGAGCTGGAATGAATGAGCAAGACAAACAAATTAAAAGGGCTTTGATAGCCGAGTGCAGTATTAACCATATATTTATAGATAAAAAGTAAAATAAATTAATATTTAATTAAAATTATTAATTGTGTACTTTAACAAAAAAGATTTTATTTAGAATTTGAAGATATTCCTGTCAATTTCGATGAGACCGTAATCCGTAATATTTACATTGCCAGTACAGAGGATCCCCTTCCTGTTACCCATTTTACCCTTCCGTTTTGTTCTAATTCACAACAATTTTTATACATTCTTTGATTCTTTCAAGGCCATTACGAAAACATCCTATGAAAAGAAACGGGATTAGGCTTCAAAATACGTAAACACCCCAATTATGAAAGTCAAATTTAGCTTATTTAAGGGATGAAAATGTCATTAAACTAGAAGTGTGACAAAGGTGATTTGATTGGGGGAAGATTAAGGACTTAAAAGGCCAGAAATAACTCTACTTTGTTGGAATCTCTAGATTCTACTCGGAATTATAATTGGAAGACTGGAGAGGGACATGATTGTAAATGAGATAAAAACTTAGGGGTAATCCGGAACTTGGGGGAGAAATCATAGAGTACAGTAATAGGTATTAATGTGCGTAATCTCGAGAGTCTTGTTTTGTTAATAGCCGTCAGATTGAGTGACGTCAAGTTGGCATCGAAGGATTAGATTGTTTGACGTTTTGACTAGAGATAGATGTTGATGATGATGTTTATTTGTTTATTTTTAAGCTTTGGTAAACAGGTTATTACTTAGAATGGATTGGGTGTAGAGAAGGTGCAAGAAAGCAACCGTGTGGAGGCAGTTGAATAACCGATATGTAAGTGGAAAGATGGTGTTGATCTTGATGAAGGATGATGATGGTAGCGTTGAGCCATTTGGCGTATGTTGACGCATGAAAGGTCCTGATCATGTTAATCACACCATTTCTTACCTTTTAATTTTTTTCAATTTTTTTATTACTTGTGAATAAAGTAATAATTAAAGATTTATATGAATATAATAAATATAATTAATAAAGTGATAAATTTTAAAATTTTTTATTTTAATTGATTTAAATTTAATTTAAAAAATTTTCTTTTAAAATAGAGAGAAAGAGAGTTTTTTTTCAAAAAATATATAAGAAATTATAGCTTAAAATAGCAGAATGATCATAAATATTAAAATTAAAAATTTTTTATTGTATAAATTAATTAAATTATTTTATCAGTTCAAAAAAAATTATAATTGTACATGTGTTTACCTAAATGTAAAATCAATAGTAAATTACAATGACACAAAAACTATATAAATAATTATTGCATGATTTATGGTACTAGTCCTGGATAATTAGGAAGTGAATAAAATCAAAGTTGACTCGGCAATGCATCCTTGAATGAAGTCCGGCTAATCTTACATGTCTTTGACAGTAGGCTGATTTTGCTGCTCGATATTAACAGTGTTAAGCATCAAATTCAAAATTAATTAATCATTATATATAAGTAAAAATAAAAAAATTTTATATAATAAATTAAAAAAATAATTAAAAAATTTTAATTTTGATATTATATTAAATATTTAATTCAAAATTAATTAATAATAAATAAAAATATTAGATCTTAATATAAAATTATAAATTTATTAAATATAAGATAATCTATTTTAATAAATTACAATACGATGATCCCTCGTAAACAAGAATTACAATCATCCAGTGCTAATTAACCCTTTCAATAGGGCTCAAGTTACGTTTAGAGAGGCAACTTTGAGCTTTGTCTCGATTGGATAAGGCAAGACAGAAGGAAGCCCAGGTTCCTTAAGTAGAGGGCAGAGAGAAAAAGAGAGCAGGTAAGTTTGAGAGAAATAAGTCAAAGTGTTATAATCAACCAGATGCTAGTTCAATTAGCAAAATTTATTTCTCTTAATATAAAAATTTTGGATTCAAAGTTAATCAATAATTTTTTTATTAAAATCATATCGAATGCTTGATTTATAATTATTATTTTTAAATTTTTAAATATGATATATCGTATTTTAATTTAAAATTTTAAATATTTTATGTATCTTCAGATTATATAAATACACACACTTAAAGGTGTTTTAAGGGTTGACAAGCTTAATTTTAGGATGCGTTATGAGTTTCAAAACATTTATAATTTTCACCTTATTTTGGTTATAGTAAAAACTTCTCTCATTTTCCTTTGTCCATGTACATATGCTTTATGCCGAATCATATAATTTCGTAATCTGTTTTATTGCTATTTTAATTTGCGTATTTTTTTTTATTGTTTATTGTGGCAAATGTACTTTAAACATATTGACTTGTTTCAATCGGTTGCGAATATTAGGGATACAACTTAGGATAAAGAGGCTAATTAAATTTCTCATTTATATTTGCTAAAAATATAAAAATTTCAGGAATCATTAATTATATATTGGCAAAATTGTTAAAAGCTTGTAGAATTTACTGGACTTTTTGGTAAATATTTCCTCAATATAAACTTAGATAAATCTGTGAATTTCCATGAAATTTTGATAATTTCATTCATATTGCTCTCTCTCTCTCTCTCTCTCTCTATATATATATATATATATATATAATGAAAAAAAGAATTTTTTTGATAAACAACATTTCGAGCCCTACGTGCATATGAAAGATAATGCCAATATTTTGTTAAATTGTTAATAATATCCTAAAATTTTATAATAAAATTTATTTTTTATTAAAAAAAATTCAAACAACTTTTTTGAATATATATATGCATTTATAATTGATCAGTCATACTCGAGTGTTACACTTACGATAATTAATTAATATAAACTTGGTAAGAGGTTTTATATTGCGATAACATAATAATATTTGCATGTTTCAAGTATCAATATTAAACACTTTGACAGCAAAAAGACAAAGCAAAACAATGTTATTATAACCGACCAAAGCACTATATTCTTTCGAGATCAACATACAGTTATTTATTCAATTCCGATGTTGCAACATTGACAACTCACTGCAAATGCTATATATGTTGAAATGAGATGTTAAACTCACTGCACAGTTAACAATATGTTTGACTAATCAAAATCATATAGTTTTTTTCTGATAATTTATTCCAATTGGTATCATAATCATGTGATAGTGAATCCATGCATGCATGCATGCTACCCTTCTTCCTAAACAAGTTTTAATGTGTTGAAATTTGCACTCTATACAATACATATACCAGATTTGTCTTTGGTAAATGTATAAGTCAATTTATATTTGTTCTTTAAACCTCTAATAAAAAAAAAAAATTTTAAAAGAAGTTATCTTGAAATAACCTCATCTTCATGCAAAAACAAAGGCTGGGACAATAAGAAAACCGAGGTTATGTTGAAAATACCAAAGTTGAAGCAAACCAATGCAACTTTTGCTGTCTAATTAAGATTAGTTGGCTTGACTAGGAGAAACAAAATAGAAACTGCAAAGCACAAGCAAATGATCAGTGGTCCATCAGATACATCAGGCTGGACGTTTTGAAGTCAATTGCTAGGCAAATAATCCATGCAAAAACTCAAATCTTTCTCTCAATGGAACACTAAAAACATGCAAGAAAATACCTACAATAGATTGGGGTTGTTGGCTTTATTTTGGGCAGTTTTTTCAATGTTGTTGGTGGAATTGGGATATTTGAAGAAACATTCGCTAGGAACAAAGAAGAATGTCGGTCTATAAGTCTCTGAACCAGTCTATCTATGCAGATATTGAAGAGAGGAATGGGGTGTTCTTCCCAAGAGAAAGTGGGTTCTGAATTCTGATACTGAAGCACGCGATGGGCTTATAATTAAGTGTGCGTGTGCGTGTTTTTAACACTATCATTGGACTGAGAGTTCTTCACTTGTAATAGGACACATTTTAACTCGGGGTTTTGCGAAAGAATGAGAGAGAACAAAAAAAAAAATGGTGTATGAGAAAATCCCAAGAAGAAAGAATGCCATTATGATATCTTTATGATTTCCTGTACTTCGGAGCTCTGTATTTTTGTGTCAAGCAAAACTCTAGTCGAATCTCGGTTGGTTTTGGATTTTGATAATTTCATTGGTATTGCTTTTGGTTTCGCTTGTGTGGGGAAATGTAGAGTTTGGTCATCAGATGCCACTAACTTTTGTAATTTCCTCATTTGAGTCAATTGATAGAGCCACCTGTGAAGATTCTTCCATTATCCACGTACCCTTTTCACAAGAATAGTAATTTTGAACGAAAAGATCAATAGTGGTCAAACAAAAAGGTGGATTTGCTTCATTGGTTTACTCCCACGGACCCGCTCTTGTCAGTATTCAGCATAGAAGAATGCTGGGCTTGGCCTAAGTCACTAATGGCCTAGTCTTGGACCCCACCCCTTGCACTGGCTTTACCATAGGGAAGTTTACCCTAGAACTGCCTCGTTTCTAATTAAATATTACATTAGTCATGTCATATAGTTTGCACCGAATTCATGTAAATTATTATCAAGTTTAATGTAATTTCCAACATGGTAGCTGGTTAGTGCCTTGCTTCACTCAACCTCAACTGCTGCTAGCATTGGCAGAATGATGACCATTCATAGATTTTGCAATTTAAAATATCATATGTTAACACACTAAAAATATAATTTAAAATTTTAATAAAAATATATATTTTATTAAAAATATAAATTTTATATTTTTTATGTTGAGGTTAATTGACATAATTTTTTATATAAAATATGATATAAATATTGAAAAAAAATCAGGTACCCCCACTTGGAAAAATCTTTGTAAGGATTAAGGACGTCTCTAAAGTAAGAAGAGAATCGCGTAGGTTGCGCCTCAACGCTAGATTTTCTCCATCATTCATCTACTACTGTTTTAACCAGATGTACACTACTGCTATTTCATTTCCCTTTTTCAAACAACACATTTCGTTATGGGATTGACTAGAAATTTTAGAATAATTATGGGATTTTGATTATTCTATTAGTTAACATTACAGCAGCAAATTTCACATACTAGATTAAACATTCTAAATGTCTTATTTGGAACTAGATGCTGTTATCAATTCTCCTGACCTCAGTTACTACTATCAAGTGCAGGTAAACATTCATGTAAAATCTCAGCTGCATGCTCCAATTCTTTCTCTGAGATGATCAATGGTGGCACCAGTCTCACAACATTTCCTTTCCCTGCAGTTAATACTAGAAGACCGGAATTTCTGCAGGCATCTACAAGTGGTGAAGCAGACACATCCAGCTCTATTCCAATTATCAGGCCCAAACCACGCACTTCTTTCACATGTGAATTTCCTCCGAGCTTTTGGATCAACATTTCTTTGAAGTAATGACCTTTCTTTGAGACGCTGGACAAGAATCTAGGATTTGTAATTTTATGCAAAATAGCAATAGCAGCACTACACACAAGAGGTGAACCAGCAAAAGTACTTCCATGGTCTCCGTGGACTATAGTAGAAGCAACTCTTTCTGTTACTAAAGCAGCACCTATAGGAAGACCTCCAGCAAGAGGCTTGGCAAGTGTCATTATATCTGGGAAAACACCGAATGCTTCATGTGCCCAGAGATAACCAGTTCGACCAAATCCGCATTGGACCTAGGAAAAAAGAGTAATTGCAACAATGACAACAAATGTTAGAACCCCTTCTGGCACAAGATGAATTTAGAAATAAGTGAAACAAAACAAAGCTACCATAGCATAATTTCCATCTTCATTATAACCTACACATCCCTTTAGCACCAAAGAAAAGTATCATATCACTTTTACCAATTTAAAAGCTTTACATGTTATATGTATACCAAAGAGAGCCACCAAAGTCTCAAAAATTCAAAGAAAACAGAAAGCCACTTAAGTCTCTCAAAAAATTAAAAAAAAAAAAAGGAGCAACTAAAAGATTGTCTTCAAAGCATTCTCGTGCTTTAAAATTGGAACTAGTGTATTGGCAATTTCTCTGTTATCGATGAAGAAGAAAATATGATTAACTACTTCTACTTCTCTACTAACACCAATTACTATCAAGTTAAAGTTTACTCTTAAAGTCTAAATCATGATCCATGTGAGAAAATTGGATCTTAACCCATTTTAATAGATATATGACTTTAATGTAATCAAAGAATATCTTATAATTTTGTTTCAAGCAGAATGTAAGAGGTTTCAGTGTTTTTTTTTTTTTTTTTAATTTAAATCATGATTAATCACAATTACATAAGTCCATTATAAGATCACAATAGGACTTCCCATTAGTATCGTAACAAATATGTATAAAATTTGTTTTGCTTACATAATTTGTTATTTACATCAATCCATGCATTGGATTGTTTGGGAAAAATACAAGAGGAAGACAAGGTAGCACGAGATCAACCACAAATTAAATCAGATCAAGACATTCAGACGATATGATAAAACATCTGAATTGAATTTATTTCTAAGAGAGAGGAAGCTGTGTACCTCATCAAAAACCAAGAGGGATCCAGCATCATCACATGCCTTACGCAAAGCTTGCAGAAATTCTTTTGTTGCACTGTGTATTCCACCTTCACCCTGAATGGGTTCAACAAATACAGCAGCAATTTTTCCATGCCGGATTAGATCTTTTGCAGCTTGTATGTTGCCATACTCCAGGAAAGTAACTCCAGGCATAACAGGCTCAAATGGTGAACGATAATGCTCTTTACTTGTCAAAGCAAGGGCACCCAGGGTCCTACCATGGAAGCTATTAGTAAAGGAGATAAAATCTGTAGCAGGCTGTTTATCATCGGGATTTGTAAATCTTTGAAACTTCCTGGAGAACTTAATAGCAGCTTCATTTGCTTCTGTTCCAGAGTTTGTGAAAAATACACGATCAGCAAAAGAATTAGCCACCAGACATTTTGCAAGCTCCACCTACAACAACAAAACATATCCTTTCATACAAACAGGTCCCAAAAAACCATAAAACATTAGCTACATTTGGAATATCTGTCACGCTTGTTAAACCAATAATTTATAAGCCATTCAAGAAAAAGAGATGAAATTGTAATTAAGAAAGAAAAAGCAATATAGGTATTTTCATTTCCCTATAAAAAGAAAATGAAAAATTCTATACTTGCTTCACCAACATATTTCAGCACTGTTTCGGTAATTGCTTTTGCTATTATAAAGCAAGAGTAAAAATGAAAAAAAAAATAAAATTAATTTTATAATACAACAATATGCATGATGGTTTACTTTTATGTAGGACAACTACTATATTAGCATTGATATAATATTTAAACGTTTATTCAATTTTAATATTAGCAAATCCACCTTGTTCTCTATTGTAACAAACGCAGGCAGAGCTGAAATTCAATAACCCAACAACAAAGAATCGAAATTATATTCAACTAAAAATATATATTAAAAAGGACTTAACCTTTCAATAACAACAAAAAACAAAAAAATCCATACATCAAAAACCCAAAAAAATTTTTAAATCCAATAAAAAAAACTAACCTGAGGAATGGAATAGTAGGCGTTACTAACATGAGCAAGCACATTAGCTTGGTCTGTAACCGCCCTGACCCAATCGGGATCCCCATGACCAAGCGCATTGACAGCAATCCCAGCTGCACAATCAAGAAACTCTCGCCCTTCAGGATCATACAATTTACAGCCCTTGCCACTAGACAGCACCACCGGAGCTCTTGCATACGTTCCCACAAGAACTTTCCCTTCTTCTTCTATCACGCCCTTGCTTCCATTCGACTTTAATTTCAACGGATTCGGTGCTTCCACGTCCACGCTTAGACATGCACTCACTCTGCCTTTGTTCAATGGACGGCGGAGATGAGTCACCGGAGAAACTGACACTGCATAGCTGTGAAAAAGCTGGAGAGAACCCATTTTGGTTATTTTAATTCTTTTATCGGATTCTGGTAAAGCTTTGATTTTTATTACTGTTGGGCTTTGCGGGTTTATATAGCAAACGAAAAAAAATTTAAGAACACAAATAAAAAAAAAAAAAAAAAGAGAGAAGAATTTGGTTTTAGGACAATAATGCAAAAGGTAGCGTTTGGAAGAGAAAGATTATTAATAATTCAACAAATGAATTGATTCGGAGTGCAATTTGGGGGAAAGAGGAGGCTATACCCGGATCTGATACTAGCTTTGGTAGCGGCAACACTGATTGGAAAAAAAAAAAAAGTTGTATTTCCTTTTCTCGTTTTTTCTCCTCTTCTCCTTCTCGATCCTCCTATTTCTCCCTTCATATGATCGAATTCGAGTTTGGCCTAATGAGATTGAAACTGATGCCAAATCAATTGAATTGCCTTCAAAGAGGCCAAGATCAAATCTAGTCAGATAATGGTCGGATCTGACGTAGAAAAACGGGAGAAAAAAAATTTTCATTATTTTTATAAAGAAGTTATGACACATTGCAATCATAAAAAAAAATACTAGATAAGTTATTATTATGCTTGAAATTGTGTTTGGACATATTTTTTCTGTAAAAAATAATATCAACCGACTATATATTAATTTTTCATTTTAAAATGATTATATATCAAATTTAATAGAATCAAACAAAATTGATTAATTCAAAAAGTAAGAATGATGCAGCAATATTATTCAAAGAAAACCAATGACTTTCAACTTAATAAATTATACACCCACTTCACACTTGAAAATGAAAATATATAAAACCTTTATCCAAATATATATATATATATATAAAGGGAATCAAGTTATATAAGTGTATTTTACATGGTTTAAAATTTCAATTTACAATTAGTATTTTAATAAATTGATTGTTGGATTTAATAATATAATTAATACTTGTTATGCATGTAAAGTTTTTAATTGATTTGATATTTTTATTGTATCAGATAAATAATTTTTTTTAACAATTAAAATTTTTTATATCAAACAAATTATTAGACATTTGTTATTAATTTAAAATTTAACATGCATGATTTACATGAATAAGCATGAAATATAATGATTAAATTAATCAAATATAAATCATATAAAAGTATATAAATTAAATAAATTTTACATTGTTATAAGTGTATCTCTTCATATATATATATATATATAATTACTTGATTTTCTCCTTGATTTAGAATAATAAATTTAATTATATATTTATTTTTTAAGTTATCTGTTTTCTTACATTGAATTCATAATTTAAGTCCATGAAAATAGGCAGAACATTTTTTTTTTCATAGATTTTTGACGATTGCAATATTCATTGATCACCGAATATCACACAAGACCTTTTACGTGGAATATTCAAACTTGCCATCACTTACATACCTTGGAAAGACCATTGACCATCGACCATCGACCATCGACCACGCATGACATCTTTATCTAAATAATATAATTATTTATTCCTTCACCTGCCATTAACTAATGGATGTGCCCAAAGACTGGTACACGATTGTCAGGAATAGTTTTTATGCTACTATTTTTTAACTATTGTTGTCAAAACAACGAGCATAATAATTTTTTTAACTTATTAATAGAATGGTTAACTCTTAATTTTAATAATTAATTTAAATTAAATATAGTTTTAAATAAAAAAATATATATGCATATAAACATTATAAATATTTTCTCATTTTTTTCAAAATGGAAATCAACCTTACAAATAGTTTTTAAGTTAGTCGAACAAACCAGTGAATCAGCGAATCTAAACGTTGATCCGATTTTGAGATGCTACGGGCAATTGCCAAACATAGGCTTATCCAGGGATATTAGTTTTTTCTAGTAATTTCTATTTACGCTTTAGTTACTAGTAACTTATTTCTCTAAGAGAAAACAAATCCAAGAACTAGAAAACGGGAGCACATGATCAAAGTATGTTTTGCTCCTCAGGACTGAAGTTCCAGCATTTCACCGTTGGGTTAAATCAAATCCTTTTGGCTTCTGATGTGCCAGGCGGGACTATGAAACATGGAAAATATGAAAAACAAAAGAGCATTAATGAGAATATTTTGGAATTTTTGCATCAAAAGATGTGTTTATGCGCACAATCATCTCATATTTGCTCTAATTCTTTCTTTAGCTTTTAACCCTCAACTTTTTACAGCTAGTTCTCTAGAGAAAACTCAAAAATTACTGATTAATCTGAAACCTAAAACCAAAAACCTCAGACTTGTAGAGGAACAAGGAATTCATAATTTCATACACAAGGACTATTTTCTGGAAGTAGCTTTTATCATTGTTCATCCATCCTTAGCTGCTTGTTTCATTTTTAGGATCTTTTTCTTCCTTCACCAAAGAATGCTCTGCTGATATTGGCAAGACAGTGCTATCATTAATTTCATTTGATATTGACAACTGCTCAACTGTCTGCCCTGCTTCAAGCTGTGCCATCAAATCTCTAAGCTGCAAGTGCATGGAAATTAGCAACTGAAGATTGATATAGGTAAATTAAGATGGCAACTTGACTACAACAACAGTGCACTAAAGCTGTTCAAAAATCCAAATAATGCCCTCACCTGTTCCTCCAAGGCCTGGATTTTTTCATCCTTCATCCTCAAAGCCTTCTTTTCCCTGAAAAAAGTTCTCAACATTACATAAAATCAAAGTACAACAGACATAAACCAGACATTTACCACGTACTGGGAGCATTCACCTACAATTCTATAATTATCTAATCAAAATAAAGAATTATATATAGGTCTACCACTTATAAGTTTAGGTTTCACATAAAATTTTGATGAACCCCACATAATTCCGAATTGTAATTGATTAATTGTAGTGCAATGATTGATTGTAAGTAATATGCTCTCCAAAATACTAGTTCATTAGGCATATATGTCAGTGACTATCCTTCTCAACAAAGGAACATGATTTGAAGATCAAATAATCATTTCAGCATAGAATCAGTTTGCACGTGGTTAAAAGTTACAACTAAGCATTTATGGTTGATCAAAAAGACATCATATGGCTTCCTCTATAGATTCATAATGCTGTGGCTGTCACCAAAGGAGAAAGCTTTTCTAACACTAGGTTGTGTTCCAGCAATGCCTCTAAGGATCATAATGTTATTTGGACCTAAAATCCAACTCACAGGGGATAAAATCCAATCATGCTATACCAATAAATTTTGCAATCCAACCTTAGTTCCAGTTACCATCAACGCACAATCAAAATAAAAATGATCCTTAGAGCATATAAGATTTTCAAAGATGCAAGTTTGTTAAATGGAAAGTTACTGTTTAATGGTCTAATTCTTCCAAGTTTAATTTGAACTGATTTTGCCGTCATACCTTTCCTTTTTCTCAGTGACGGTGATATGTTCTAAATGGCTAGCAAACTATAATATCAGAATTCAGCCATTTTTAAATAAAAATGTTTATCTAACTAAAATGTCATATACAACTTCCGAGACTATAAAACTCAAAATACATTCCTTTGCTCACCTATCAGAAAAAGAAAAGGCAAAAGACTGAAGCTAGCCAAACTTACATCTAACAACTACCAACATCTATTTCCTGCATTCAAATTACAATTCACATGATTATCCCATCTTAAAGGGACAGACAACCACCCCAAAAATACAGTGAATGACATGTGTTGGCAAATATCTTAAGTGTTCACGTAGGGCTGTAGGTAGAAATAAATTTTTTTGATAGCTTTATTTTGGAAAATACTCCTAACTTTGCAAAAGTCATTGTAAACTTACAAAGGTCTGTTCCAATTTAAAAAACATCCAAACATGTCAAAGACAATAGCATGTAAAAGATTATTGCAATAACCTACAACAAAAAAAGGCTATTAAACTAGCCATACCTCTCTTCAGCTTCCAATAGCTTTGCTTTCCATATCTCCTGGTTTTTCAAAAGATTCTCATTGAGCTACATGCAGAAACAACAAATTTGTACTTAATTAATTTGTTAAAGAATAAAAAAAGAAAGAATAATTACTTTTGAAATAATCTGAAACAAACTGTAGATACTTTTGAGATCAAGAGCTTAGTGCTCACATCCTCTAGAAATTTCTTTTCCTTCACACATCTTTCGAGCTTAGCCTGAATTTTCTGTCGTTTTTGCATGGCAGCCTTGTTAACGGCATCTGCAATTGCTCTCTCTGTTTCTTCATTGTCTTGTTGAAGCAAAGACTCAAAATACTATAATGAAATCAAGCTTGCATTAATCATAAGCTTAAAGAGTAGCTCCTTCATTGTCCAAAAAAGGGGGAAGCAAACACTTACAAATTTTTGGTTCTCAAGCTGGGTGCGAAGTAGTTCATTGTATTCATTAACAATCTGAGAAAAAAAAAACTAAAAGTAAGAGCAGTGTATTATATAATAGAACCAAAAACATGTGTCAAAATAAAATATAGAAAATTTACTACCTCAGCTTCACAGCTCAAAAAAGCCTCACTAATTCCAGAATCTACACAGTCACAGCTCCCACAGCCATCATTAGCATGCAGACAATGTGAATTCAATTCAACCAGCTTACCATCAGTTTTGGATTGAATTAGTCGGTGGACATAATTGTTACCAACATAATCCCAGACACGCTGTGTTTCCAATTCAAGAGAATAGCAGTGTTGTGTTTCTTTCCAATGTATTATAGCATGTCCACCTTTATACCTACATTAATATGCTTATTCTAAGAAATGATGCAGCTAACATAAGAAAAGAGGAAGTAATGGCAAGAATAGAGTTCCTACACAAGCTGCCAGAGGAAAGCAAACTTCTAGGGTTTTACCTTCCACAGCCAACAAAACCACAAATGACACAAATCCAAAGATTCTCAGAAGTTTGACATATGAAACATGTTGATTTTTCAGGCTGCTGCTGGCAATATCGGCATACCTGCAACATAATAGTGAAGAACATTCAATATACTCTCAAAACTTTCTCTATAAGGAGCAGGTATTTGAAATTTCATAAGGCCCAACAGCAGTATACAAGCTGGGACAATGACTATTAAAAAAGTTAAATGGTAGAAAAAAATCATAGTCACTTACTGGACAAGAAGAATCTGTCCATTTTGAAATACAGGAGCAATGAAAGGAATGATTACAGATGGTTGTGAGAATTCCACTTGCTTCCTGGTCTAATCTCTCTGTAACAGAAGGCAAAAGAAAGAGGAATATTATGCCATCCAGAGTTTACTGTCCCATAGAAATATGCACTAAGCTTGCAAAAACATACCACATGTGCTGATCTCACTAGCGGCATACATGATATAACCGACTTAAAGAGAAGAACTATGCAAGAGAGAAAGAAAACGTATGGACAGTAAATGGAAGAAGAAAGGAGAACAACATTGAGGGTATTGTATGGCATACGTGCTGCAGCCTGTTAGAATGATGTGGAATAGCAGTGAGGGTACTGTGTGATGGTTTGACAAAAGTTGGTGTGCACTGGCCAGCACATCAGTACCAATACAATATTAATAACTTTGGTTTAATCTGGTATGCACTCAACTAGATTACAATGCTTTATCTCCTTAACACTTGGCCCAGCAGAAAATTCAGGTTTGACACATGCAATTTGACTCATAAGACGTACTTTGCATAGTATATCGACTTGGGCCATTAAACAGGCCAAAATGAGAAGCAAATAGGGTTTCCTTATTATTTAGTCTACCAGCATGGCTAGCACTTGGATGCTCTAACTGAATAAGTCCTTAAAAGGGATGGCAAAGCTATATGTAAAACCAGACAATTCTGTTTTATAATTTTTATTTCTTTTTTTCCAAAAATTTTGATCATATTCGTCTAATGTGTGAAACTTTATGACTAAGAAGTAACAATAAAGAGTACTCTACAGAGAAAAGGTAAATTATAGGAAATTTCTAAAACATAGCTGAAGAAGGTACCAAGACAAACTGGACATGAAGGCTGCTCAGTTGAACTTGCAGGGGGAGACTGTACATGGTCAACAGAACCAGTGTAGCCCGTGAACTGCACATCCACTGTAAAAAGCACACGGCAAGCTTCTTCCTAAATAAAACCAAAATCAGTACAAAAACTTGCCCAGAAAAACAATAAATAATGACAACAGCATAAACACAGATAAGTTCATCAAAACTACACTCTCCCACTAAAGAAAAAGAAGCCCTACCTCAAGAGAATTAAATTGTCTGTTGTTAAAATGCCTGCAGAATTTATCTGTAGAGTCTTGACTATCAAATCGTATCAAAACACTATAGCGATCCTCCATTCCATCGTTCCTAATCATCGCCACAAATGACAGCAATAAATATTTAAAATCTCAGTCAATGAGCATGACCAACCACAATCAAAGAAATATTATCTAAACAAAGGCGAATGGATGTATATTAACGCCAACTACAGTCATTTTTAGTAAGGCATTGACCATGAATCACAGAATGGATGATAATAATGTTGAAATATGTCAATCCTTTTTACCTGACAATTCTCATCTCCAATATGTGATGGATAAATGAAGCACAAAACTGACAGAAATCGGCGTATGTCATGTGGTTCGGCACCCCTAGCACACACACAAGAGGTTTTCTTTCAACCTATAAACATTGAAATAACATTAACTACAACGAACTCTCTTAAATTAGTTAAATTTTCGGTTAAATAAATATGAAAATTTTACAATTTTTTTTACATAAGATAAAAAGAATCATTGAGAATTCTCAAAGACTGGAAAAAATTTAAAGGACGAGATTACCGGAAGGGTGGAAACAGCGTCATTGGAGAAGAGATGCATAACTCCACGCGTCTCTTCTATTCTAGGGTTTCCAGAGGAAAATGGGATGGCCTCCGTGCTCATGTTTGGAGCTGTTAGGTTACCGGAGATCGCCGCCTCTGACTGCCGGAGCTTCTCGTCTCCGGTGACCGTGCTGGAGCTTGATGACATGACTTCGTTTCGTAACTTTAAATTTTTGGGTCTAAAACGAGAAGATAAATACAAATGAAATTGTGGGTTTTATATAGGAAAGGAGAGAGTACGGGTTCTGTCGGTGCCATGTGTTAAAAGAAGCAATCAAAAAATGCCACGTCAGAGCAGCCGCCAGTTGTCAATTCTGCTATTTCTATCGAGAAGATGATCAAAATTCACAAAGTTGTTGAATCCCCTAATCAACCCAACTTATGTAACCAGACAAACACACGAATTAATGACATGAACCACCCTCCAATTCGAATTAAAATTAACTTAAAAAGAGAAATAGTTCGAATTCGAACTATTCAAAATTAATTTAAATTTTAATTAATTTTAATTAAATTATAAAAGTTAACAATTTAAAACTCAAAGTTATTGAAATTCAAAAGTCAAACTCATAAAACGTAAAAATTAAAATGACGAATCAAAATAATCTAAATTCAAATTACTGAACTCAAAATAAATAAAAAAAAATTGACCTTAAGTTTAATTTTTAAATCTTCATCATAATCTAAGACATGTTTTTTAAATCTTTATTAATGAAAGTTAATGTTTATGAAATAATGAGCTTTTATTAATTGGCATACACCATAATTGAAAAAGGGCAGGAAAGGAAAAGAAAAATCATTTCTCTCAATTATTTAATTTTTTCATATTCGAAAATATCAAATTTTAAAATTACAAATCTAATATTTATCAACATATCACGTAATTATTCGCATAAAAACTGTTTGCATTTATTAATATGCCATTATCTCTACAAAATATGTTTCCCTAATTTTTTTGGTCTTGAAAGAGAAACATCAGGTCCCAAACTCAGAAACATGAAAGCATTTTAAAGAAATATGTAATTTTAGCTCATCCAAAATCTGGGTTCATCTTTACTCTAATATAAATGGCCGCCATTAATTCCTACAATTACAATTTCCCATGCTAATCAGTAATCACAGCCTCCAAAAATTTTGACACAAAAATTATGATTGAAATACATGAATAGAGCTTTCACTCCAATACAACAAACTAGGCCTTTTTTACCGCGAAGAGTCTGCTAGAACTTTGAAAAAAAAAAAAAAAAAGAAGAAATGGTTAAACCAGATGGGGACCTCCTGTATTGGTACTCAGCCGTTTTTGATTCAGATAGCAGCTGCAACTGAGGAGCCAACTGATTTCAGTACTTCCTCACCCATCTCCTTGCAGCCGACTAGTTTCTGTCCAAGGAATAAAGTAGCAAACGACATTTAGAACTGTAATTGACATGAAGAAAGCGAAACACCATATGGCAAAAGATAAAAAAAGAAAACAAGGCACAAAGGCTATTGTAACTATCTCAGAAAATTTTGATATACCATTGTAATTAGAGTTCTTTCACTGCCAAAAAAGATAACTTAAAGTTCTTTTGGCAAAAATTAGAAGAGAATAATTATTGCCTTTCAGAATTAAAAAATAAATGAAAGAGAAGAAAGCAACAAAGAAAGAGGTATTTTGGGATAAGGAGCTTATACGTTTCCAGCAGAATATATATCGCCTGTTCGGAAACCCCTATTAAGAGTATCCAGAACTGCATTCTCAATTCTCTTTGCAGCATTTGCTTCACCTAGGCCATACTTCAAAAGCATTGCAGCACTGAGAATTGTTGCAAGCGGGTTTGCCTTGTCCTGTCACTCAGACCATAATGTATTCCACATTATAATTCAGGTTCAGAAGTTTCAGTTTGATGGGAAATGATAATTAAGCTTTAAGTCTAAAAAGTCAACAAAAATGGTAAATCCAACCTGTCCAGCAATATCAGGAGCAGAACCATGAATAGGCTCAAATAGTCCAGGTCCCTGTGCAAATGGAAATACCAATATAGTCAAATAGAAAGAATATACAAATACCAATATTCTCAGTCCAATCTGCAAAGGGGTTAATAAGTTGTCATACTGATTCACCAAGACTAGCAGATGGAAGCATCCCTATGCTTCCAGTGATCATTGAAGCCTCATCAGACAAAATATCACCAAATATGTTGTTGGTCACAATTGTATCAAACTGCACCATATCATTTTAAAGTATTGTAAGCTTTTCCAGTTTAAACAATTTGCCTATAAAACTTCATTTGGACCTCAAAAAGGTGAGAAGGAAGCATATGTGTGTTTCTTTTCAAGACAAACCTGTTTTGGGTAGCGAACAAGCTGCATTGCTGCATTGTCAACATACATGTGTGAGAGCTCAACGTCAGGATATTCAGAAGCAATTGCCGTAACTCTTTTCCTCCAAAACATTGATGCCTAGAAAATGGAACAGAAAAATACCAGGTACATTACATGAGAAAAGGCAAATGCAACTATAATTCACAGATAAACTTCACGTTCTGCATACGGTTTTACATCATAAGGCCAGACTCATATGCCCACGTCACTGCATAAGCTGGATTTAAAACTAAAGCAAAACTAATGCTGGCTTAGAAGTCATCATTGCCCTGAAGTCAGTTGAAATATGCTCAAAGCATGGTAATTTAGGAACAGCCCTCTTATTCCATCCTATAAATGCACTAATAATTGCTTGGCAGTAGTTCCTTTCAAATACTAGTGGTGCCTAGTGCCTACACTAAACTGTGGTAAGCTGACAAAAATTTGCAGCAATACAGATGGAAGAAAGATATTTTCCATGCATAAAACCAAGATAGGTTGCAGTGCATTTTATGAAACAAGTTCATTGATCACAAAATAAAAGACTGAATTATATGATTATAAAAACCCCAAACCCTTGAATAATTTATCAGATATAAACAGTGAAGAAATACAGTTCAATTTGATAATTACAATAACAATCTATAGATACAAAAGGGCACATTATGATGCAATAATCAACACCTAACGTTTTTCCATCATTTTGTACAAGAAGATGCAATAGGCAAGATTGGTAACATTACAACAAACCTCCAAAACATTAGCTTTGTCAACAGAACAGAGTTGTCCACGCCGCTTCCGAGCAATCTCAAAAGCAATACGAGCAATTCGATCAATCTGGCATCCGTTTGTTTAATTTTCAAAATTAATAATTTTAGATGGAAAGTAAAACCATTGGAATTTGACGAAAAAGATAAGACAGGCACTTCACAAGTCAAACGAAGGATTTGAAGAGGAAGTATACCACTAGCATCCATTATAATCAAGAATGATATGAAAAAAAAATTCAGCTTTTTCTAAATTATAACAATATAAGGTTAAATTTAATCAAGCTCTCTTTATTTAACTCATCCATTCAATCCCAAACCATAAACCATTGTAGCAAATTATCATTAAGTTTCTCCCTCTTCAGAAGTGGTTCCACAATCATGCAACATTATTCGCCATCAAGAAAGCATTCGTGATTTGTTGACAACCATACATTTTAGGGTATTACCAACTAAGAGCAAGACTAGTTAAAATTTGAATTCTTTTATTTCAGTCAAATAAAAGTCCATATATACATTCATTTCATCAAACCATTCCATTAAGCAGATATTTGAATCCAATCAAATATCCTAGAAATATTTTTTGGGAAAGAAAAAGGTAAGAAAAAACAGAAGAATTATCTATAAAGTCATTAAAGAATATGAACATTTAAGATTATCTTCACTAAAACAATCACAATTCTTTAATTTAGCCTCCATCCATCATTCAATTTATATTTGAAAGAATGCTGTTTCACTTGATCTTCCAAATCACCAACTCAAGACATCACATCTGGAAGATGTATAACTTGTTTTAGAAAAGTAAATAAAGAAATGGACAATGACAACCAGCAATCATCAGTCAAAACTACCTCATGAGTAGCATACACCTCAGTGTTGAAGCCAATATCCTCACCCTTTTCATTAGTACCAAATCCCCTTGGTTTTCCAAAATAAATACCTGATTCCAGTATAACATCAACGCTGATTATTAACATAGAAAATAGGTTGGGCAACAAAATGATTGGAAGAAAAGCAACTGGCTTGATTTTATTTTCCATGGTGTATACTGACCTCCAGTAAGCTCCCTTACAACCATAAGGTCAACACCCTCAGCAACATCTTTCTTCAAAGTTGAAGAGTCCACTAACTGAAATGGCAAATAACATAAAAGGAGATTTTCATCAACCACAGAATTGAAATAAAAGCAACACGAGCTAAACCTGCTTCCACATATGCATGCATGCATTCAAATTTAGAATGAGGTTTTTCATGGAAATAAGAAGTTCATTCTGTGCTGTCAAAAAGGGCAGAATGAAATAATTATAATAGCTTCCACACACATGCCACCACCAACCCCCACCCACCCTAAAAGAATGATGAACTCACTAATCCAGTAGCTCACTGTTGACTGTTGAAGATGATTCTTTCAAAATATAATAATAGTTACTTGGCTAAGGGATAGTCCAAATCTTATGATACCAACTTATAACCTCCAGAAAAAGAATGCATAACTAATCTCAGAAGATTGGCTTACAAATAACCACTTTGGGAACAACTGAAGGTGAGGCCATTTATTAGAACCACTAAAGGCACATAGCAAGCTTGCACATTAACTGCCAATTATTTAGGTTAATTTTCCATGCACATTACTACCCATTGCCCACTCCCTCCCTCCCCCCTCCCCCCTTCCCAACTCCTCTGAACAGAGAAAATGAAAAACACATAAAAACATTTACATCAATTTAAGCTAGTTCATGTAAATGAGAAAGTCTTTACATGCACAAAGGCTAAAAATGGAATGAATTTCAACAAAACCATACCTATGCTACATCATACATGAGAATAATTTATTTTTGATGGACAAATGTAAGTTTTACCCAATTCGAAAAATTCATTAAACTCATTAAGTGGGCAAAAGAAACGAAGTGATTATGTAGTTGAAATATTAAGAGAATTTCAGAAAAATAAATTAAAACTCCATTACCTGTGGTAAAACAGTAGCAGGCCTCAAATTTGCGAAGACTTTAAGTCCTTCTCTAAGCTGAAGTAGACCAGTCTCTGGCTTCAAGTGTTTTTCATTTTTATCCCACTTATACCTTGAAGCCAAATGAAGTAATAAATTAGTTAAATGAAAAAAAAAAGTGCAATAAGAAAATAATTGATAAGCTACTATATACAGGAATACCCTCCAATTGCTCCAAGGAGAATGGCATCAGCTCTTTGTGCTGCTGAAAGGGTTTCCTCAGGCAATGGAACTCCAGTCAAATCCAAAGCAGCTCCACCCATCGGCATCTGTTGGAAGCTAAATTCAATCCCTAATAGATACCAAAACATATGTACAATAAAGAAAGTCTATTATATGAAATGTAAATCATTTCTTAATAAAAACACCAAAATATTAAACCCTAGGACAAAAAAATTAAAATTAAGCAACTTAATTAGGAGAATATTTGTGAAAAACCTAGATATTTAGTTCTTTATTTGGCCTCTATTTTATCAGCAATGAGTAATAGATGACTACAGAGGGAAAGCAAATGATAATATAGTAATTCTTCAGTTACTTATCCGATAAATCTAAACATCATGAAATAAAATTAACTTCTAACAATTCATGTTATATATTCATTTATATGAAAAAGGCCAAAGCAACAACCAAACAGAGCTAAAATGCATTTCAAATCAGAAAATGTAATAGTGAAATACCATTAATCATTGCCTTTTGAGTTTTCGGTTATTTTGATTCACCTTCTCAGTAACCAAACAGAAAGCAATTAAGCACTGAAAATAGAGAAATGGGGAAACGAAAGAAAACCTTCGAGGGAGCCAGCGAGTTTGAGGACGGTTTTGGCGACGGAGATGACTTCAGGGCCGATACCATCGCCGGGAAGGAGAGTGATGCTGTAGCGTGTGGTTGGTTTGGCGACAGCGGCGGCGCAACTGATCCTGCTCGGTTTGAGAGACTGTTTGGCAACGGGTTTTAGATTGAACGGAGCTTTGATGGACCGGGCATGTAGCTGAATAGAAGCCGCCATTTGGTGGATAAGAGAAGCAAAAATAAGAGTAAACAGAGCACTCTTGCAGAGCAGTCAACTTTGGGTGCACAGCTTAGACAGTTTCGCCTTTTCTTCTTAAAAAAAGAAAAAAGTAAAATTACGAAATTGTTTTAGTTTTTTAATTAAATTTTTACTTTTAATATATTTAAAAAAATATATGTACTGATCCATATAATTTCTTCAATCCGACTGGGATTACATTTTAAGTAATATGCATTAATTTATATAACTTCTCTAATCCGATTAGGGTACATATAAATTTTTTTATTATTTATTTAATTATATATTTATGAATTATATTAATAAAATTATCATTTAATATTTTAATTTAAAATATTAACTTAATAAAAATATTATATCTTATATATAATTAAAATATAATTTATATTAAAATTAAAATTATTAAATTAATTTTATATTGAATTGATTACAATTTATAAATATATAAATTAAATCAAATCAAATATATATGAAAAAAGTATACATTACAACGGGACGGTTAGTCTACAGAAAGCAAAATGAAAGGGGACGAGCTAGCTGAAATTCGCTTTTTTTTACTTTTCCTAAATAGATAAAATGTAAATTGGCATGTGAAAAATAAATGTTCTATTAAATAATATTATATTTATCATGTGCAGCGCAAGTTATTAGAAAGATTACAACTCATTTTTTCTTTGGCGTCCTAGAAAAAAAAAAGGTGATTACCAGGACTTTCCTTTCCGTCAACTCAAAGGAATCAAATATATAACAGTGATAGATACATGTTAATTATCTAAACATGCTAAATAAAATAATTTTTCTAAAATAAATGGATAAGTGTATCTATATTTTATTTTATATGAGGGCAAAAAAAAATTCTACATTTTATTTTTAAAAGAAATTAGCCAGTACTTGAAAACAATTACCACATTTTTAATCACGTAACTTCCTTTTTTTTTCCCTTTTGAAACACAAATTTTTTTTTTCAAAACGCCCAGATAATGGACGACCGTGTGACATTTAAGAGACCAAAATGCTTTTAAATTACATTGATTCATGAAAGAAAAGAGCACCGCGTTGATTTTTGTGTGGTTTGATTTATTTTTCTCAAGCACTTTGTTTCAAGATTGGTTCAATGACTAACCAAAAAAAAAATGGAAAAGCACCTTAGACTTGAAGTTTTACCGATGAAATCGATGTGAAACAATAGTTAAGAACATGAGAAACGCATTTCTCAATCCTTTTGTTTGGTAAAAAGGAACCGAATAAAGTAGTATTACATTACATTAATGGTGATGATGTTTCTGCTGTTAAATGCCCCCATAAAAGCTTCATTCTCATAACTCCAAAACCACCAAATTAAATTGCCAAGTTCTTCACCAGAAAAGCAAACATGTCTACTCTCCAATCTTCAACGTCTTCCACTTCCAATTCAAATTTTGATGAGCTTCGATGGGTTATCAACATCCGTCGTTCCCTGGATGAAGACCTCGATGAAGAAATCGAAGTTCTCGTTTGCATTTTCAATGTTCCCAAAACACTAATGTTGACTGATCCTGAATCTTATACCCCTCAATTGGTTGCTTTTGGTCCATTCCATTATTGGCGTCCAGAGCTGTATGAGATGGAAAGATACAAATTGGCCGCAGCCAAAAGAATTCAGAAGCAGCTCCAGTCTCTTACGTTTCATAATCTTGTTGACCAATTGATCAAGTTTGAACCTCGGATTCGAGCATGTTATCACAAGTATCTGGATTTCAATGGTGAAACATTAGCTTGGATGATGGCCATTGATGCTTCATTCTTGCTTGAGTTTCTTCAAATCTATGCTCTCATAGAAGGAAAGACTTTATCGAGAGTTTCCTCGAGGATGTCACATTTGGTTGATTATGCAGGAAGGAAGTCGGCTCACAATTCAATTCTGAGAGATATCGTGATGCTTGAGAATCAAATTCCTTTGTTTATTCTTCGAAAGGTGCTAGAAGTCCAATACTCGTCATTAGAATCAGCTGATGATATGTTACTTTCGATGTTAAGGGGATTGTCTCAAGAGCTTTCCCCTTTCAAAATGATAGACAACTTGCCAAAGATTGAAATCTTCAAGTGTGCTCATGTTTTAGACTTCCTTTACGACATGATCGTGCCAAAGGTGGATGAACCATGTGAAACAAATGAAGCAGAGGATCATAAAGAAGCCCCAGAAGACAAAGAAAGTGATTCTGCAGATCCAAGTTATGTAAAACAACTCCTGAGTGAGGTATGGAATCTGCTTTCAAAATTAAAGAGAGGCCCGTTGCGTCTCATCAAAGCACTGCTGCTATCCAGACCTCTCAGATTCATACTTAAATTGCCCTGGAAAATCATCTCTAACCTCCCTGGATTTTCAATCCTGAAGCAAACAATTGAATATTTGTTCTTCTCACAAGACAAGGAAGAAGAAAAACCTGAAAACAGTTCTGGCCTCAACAAGCCACCTCTGGCAGAGGAGATCGCAATTCCCTCTGTCGCCGACCTTTCTAAATCGGGAGTCCGTCTTTTACCCACCAATGGTAACATTTCGACCATTACATTTGATGTCAAGACTGTTACATTATATCTCCCAACTGTCAGTTTAGACATTAATACAGAGGTGGTCTTGAGGAATTTGGTCGCATACGAGGCATCAAACGCATCAGGGCCATTGGTTTTCACGCGCTACACTGAATTGATGAATGGAATTATCGATACCGAGGAGGATGTCAAGTTATTGAGAGAAAGAGGAATACTTTTAAACCATTTGAAGAGTGATGAAGAGGCTGCAGCATTGTGGAATGGGATGAGCAAGTCCATCAGACTGACCAAAGTCCCGTTCTTAGATAAGGTGATAGAAGATGTTAACAGGTATCATAATTGCAGATGGAATGTTAAAGCGAGGTACTTCTTTAAGCAATATGTATATGGTTCCTGGCAGTTCCTCACATTGCTAGCTGCAATTATGCTTCTGATCTTGATGATATTCCAGGCCTTTTGCTCGGTTTATAGCTGCTCTCGAATTGCACGTATCCAGACCTCTGACTGACTTACTTTGGTGCATTTCCTCAATCCTTTGTTGAAGTATACCAAGATGCATCACAAATTAATATCTTCATTTTTTTTTATTGATTGATTCATTGAATATTGTTGTGTGGAGTGAGACTTTAATTTGGATCTAACTGTCGTTAATTGAAATTTGAGATATATGGATTAAAGCGTCAGAGTCTGCCTAAAAATTGTGTTTTGAAGGGTTTCATGTTTGAATTAAGGAAAATGCAGCTCGGATTCAACTCAGGTTAATGGGAATGATGACGAAAGCATTTAAGTTTCTCGCTTTTGATCTTGAAAAGACGTATTCGAACACACGTATATATACATCTTGAATCACATGATAGGATGCTGCTTAATTTTCCATTTTTCTTAATACGAGAGAAAAACCATGCAAGTGGATCATTTGCATACCGGTATTAATCATACCAAAATCAATAAAAAAATGAGCATATAGTGGCTTTTTTTTATTATTAAAAATAGTATTTTGTTTCCTGACAGGAAATTTGGATTGCAAAGGTGCCAACTTGCAGTGATTATTCTTATTTTATTGTGATTTAGCTGGTGGTCATTCCGAAAGTACAATGGTTTTTATTAATCCCACAATGGCAGCTTTATATTTGGGAGGAACCCCACTTGTCATTATGAGTGTGATAAGCAGAATCCTACATAATTATATGAAGATTTGGTTAAACAATGCGAGCAAGATTATAAAGCAGACGATCCAGCTTTAAAAGGTGAAAAAGCAAATCACCAGCAGTTGATAAGATCGTATCCATCACCGTAAAAAAACCTATAGAATAATGGTGGTAACAAAGCTAAAATCTTACTATTATATATGTTTATAACAAGAGTCGGAGAGGACTTGTCTCCGAAGGATATATGATCATTTCTTCCAGGCAAAGATATTAGATATAGGATTGATGATTTAAAAAGGCAAATAAATTAAAGGAGAATCTGACTCCTCTCCAATGGCGTTTGGGGATTGGTACGTAAGTGACTTACTCTCGTTGTGTGGACTAAGGGAAGAACGAAAGGAAAAAAGGTTACTGACATGACCGAGATATAGTAAAATCAACAATGATCAACAAAGTGGTATGCTACTCAAAACCAAAGACATCCCATCATATCTTTGAATATGAGAATATATATATATATATGTAACTTCAATTAAATGTTTAGATGCATGCATAAGATTAAAATATTAAGTACTTGGCTATTCATATATAGCCACAAAAACAAAATAAATACTCTAACTATTTTCCCTTATGAGATTGGTAACATCATTTACATGAAGTTCAGTGCATATATAATTATAATTTTCTCAATTTACAAGCCAACCCAATAACACTTAAGCATTATTGAAATTGTAAAATAAATATTTACTTTGAAAAGTAAAAATATTTTCACTTCTATTTAATTTTTAATGCATTTAAAACACATAAAATATGGGACAGATAAAATTAATTTACTTTGAGTTGTTTTTATTAGTGCACATAAGTACCTGTTATTAGCTATCGCCTTAATTCATTCTATTTTTCCTCCGTTAAATAATTTACTTTTAAATGTCATTAAACTATGGTAAGCTTACTGAAAAGAATAATTTAATCAAATGGGAAAATTTTAGTAAAAGGAAAATATATTAAATAAATTTTATATTTTATAAAAATTAAGATTTTAGTATTAAGAATTCCAATGTTTTGGGTCGTGAGTAACTGAGAATAATAAATATTGAGGCTCAAGCCCAGTTTAGCCTAACCTAATTAAAATATTTTATGGATAATTGTATTTTTGTTTAATTTCAAATTTAAAATATATTTGAAAATATTAAAATATTAGTATTAATAAAAAATTATTATTTTAATTATAAAATGATAATTAAATTGGTAGATGGGTTAGAATCAAGCCTTAGCTTGACTTTTAGAAATAGAGGCCATATAAATTTGGCCCGATCCATCGACATGAATTTCGATGGGTGATCAACATCCGTCCATAGGTCCCTTGATGAAGAGCTCGAAGATGATACTGAAGTTCCTGTATCAATCTTCAACGTTCCCAATGTACTCATTTCTAGTAACCCTAATTGTTACACCCCACAACAGGTTGCTATCAGTCCTTATCATTAATGGCGTTCAGAACTGTATGAGATGGAGAGATACAAGCTGCAGGCTGCAGCAAAAAGAACCCAAAAGCAATTGCAGTGTTTTTCATTTCAAAACCTTGTTCAACAGCTGGAAAAGCTTGAGCCAAGGATTCGAGCTTGTTGGATCTCAATGCTGAAACTTTTGCTTGGATTGGATGATGGCCATTAATTAGTGCTTCATTCTTGCTTGAGTTTCTTCAAACTCATGTTTGATAGGTGAATTCATTCATCGTAGTTACAAGGATAAGTTTATCTTGGCCTACCCAATTTTTAATTGGCCTTGGTCAAAGGTTTTTATTTTTATTTTTTCCTTTTAAAGAATAAACACTCATTTGAATTGAATTGAATGTGCTTAAATTTCCATTTCATGGTTTAATTAATAAATATTATTTACATGGTTTTCTTCTTTTTTTTTTTATTACTCCAAGTTGAACGAGATAAATCTCGGAAAAATGGGATCTGTATGAGGGATATTGGTGCAATTGCCCCTCTTCTTTAATTTTGTCTCTCTTAGATTATCAATACTTTATTAATGAAGTTAAAAATAGTGAAATTTCCTGATAGCTCTTTGGCTCCTCATTGCTAGGAATTTTCACCAACTTTTTTTTATTCTAATTGCTAATACCTAAGAGGAAGCCCTTGAAAATTTTCAGTTTTAGATTCAATTCCGTGTGGTTTAATCAAAACATATTTTATGTTAGTTTATTTTTTTTATTTGATTCTTTTTTATTAGAATTTAATTTTATTAATGTAAAGATTATTGGACTACGTTTGTTATGAGATATTGCCTACTCTAATATAAAACCTCCCTCATAATTTTATCATTTGATTAAAAATATTTCTATCTTATTTATAAAATCACGGTCCAATCATAGACTATTAAATGTGAGATATAGAAGTTTTGCTTGATAACATTCAAGTTCAAGCAACTAGGCACGTTTAACCCAACAGTGCAGACTTTAAAGGAAATCAAAAGGTAGAGACTAGAGATAAATCTTATGGCATTTGACTTGTATCACAAAATTACATGCATTTAACAGACATTGGATACAAAGCGTATATAGTGAGAATTGTTGTTCTAGGAATTGGATCATGATGATCAATTGGAAATCAAGATGGCAGGTTGATTAATTTCCAAGAGATTCCATTCTTAAGTAAAGAGGAAGTTTAAAATTAAAAAGGTGTTCTAAAAGAAAAGAGAGATACTTTAATTTACTTATTATTATTCTGTTCCATTTTAATTACTTGAGATATATTCATTCTTTTTAAATGTGTGTAGGCATACCCAAATGCAGGCATTTAGGTAATAAAATATCGAGTTAAATACGCTAGTCAAACTTTAAAAAAAAATGTAAAAATTAATATCTAATGTACAAATCACTTGTCAATTTCTAATTTTTTTTTTTTTAAAAACACCCTTAGCTCAACTTGCATACATAATAATTAACCAATAAAATCACGTCAAATATTTGCCATGTTTTAATTAAAAAATATTAAATACCACATGAAAATTCCATGTGGATGGTATGTAAGAAAAGAAATTCACTAACGATATATTAATTCCTACTAAGCAGATAAATATGGAAGGAGTGATTTGTATATTTTATCTGTTAAGGTATAAATTTGTACAATTTTTTAAAAATTTAGACATCAAAATTGTAATTAACTGTAAATTAATTTGAGCAAGAGGAAAGCGTCTCCCAATGTTTATAAAGGACAAAGAAACCCCGCGTTAATGATAGTGATTTACACCATTAAATTATAAGAGACATTCTCTTTCAATTGCGTCACTCAACTCCAAACTTTCATTCACCAAAAGGCTTATCTCACCTATCACCGTGTCTTCTCTGCAAAACACTATGTCTTCAAGTTCCAATTCAAGCTTTGATGAGCGTCGATGGGTTATTAACATCCGACAGACACTCGAGGCAGAGCTTGAAGACGATTATGAAATTCCTGTCAGCATATTCAATGTCCCCAAAACCCTTCAGTCAAGTGATCCAGATTCATACACCCCACGGTTGCCATTGGTCCTTACCATTACTGGCGTCCAGATCTGTATGAGATGGAGAGATATAAGATCAATGCTGCAAAAAGAACTCAGAAAAATCTGCTCAATAATCTCTCGTTTGATGACCTTGTTGAGCAACTGGCCAGGCTAGAGCCAAAGATCCGAGCATGCTACCATAAGTTACTAGACTTCAGCAATGAAACTTTGGCTTGGATGATGACTATTGATGCCTCATTCTTGCTTGAGTTTCTTCAGATCTATGCCATGAAAGAAGGTAAGTTACTTACCAGAGTATCTTCAAGAATGACACACTTGGTTGATTATGCAGTTAGAAATCCACCCATAATGCGATTCTTAGAGACATAATGATGCTTGAGAATCAAATTCCTCTATTTGTGTTGAGAAAGGTGCTGGAAGTTCAATCTGCATCCCTTGAACCAGCTGATGATCTCTTGCTGTCAATGCTAACTGGGCTCTGCAAAGAGCTTTCCCTTTCAAGATGATGGTGTTGCCGAAGATCCACGTTTCAGAAACATCCCATTTGCTAGATTGTTTGTATGATATCATCGTGCCTAAACTCCAATCCAGAATCACATCTGAGATCATATCAGAGATTGAAGAACAGAGTGAAGGCTTGAAAGGTAAATTAGAAGGATCCTCCAGCGACCCAGGTTACGTTCAGCAACTCCTCCGCCATATATGGAATCTGCTATTGAAGCTAAACAAAGGTCCAGCACGCCTGGTCAAGAAAATTTTACTATCAAAGCCTGTCAAAGTCATATTTAAATTGCCATGGACAGTCCTCTCTAAACTTCCCGGATTTTCATTCCTAAAACAGCCTGTGGAATACTTTTTCTTCAATGATGAAGGTAAAAAGGACACCAAATCAGAAGGTGAGGGTTCCAACGCTGACAAACCACCATTAGTAGAAGAGATCACAATTCCTTCTGTTTCTGAACTTTCAAATTCCGGGGTACGTTTCTTGCCCACCACAGGGAGCATCTTAACCATTGCTTTTGATGCTAAGAGTTTTACATTTCACCTCCCCACTGTTAGCTTAGATGTGAACACTGAGGTAGTCATGAGAAACATAGTGGCATACGAAGCATCGAATGCCTCAGGGCCATTGGTGTTTACACGTTACACTGAACTGATGAATGGGGTCATCGATACTGAGGAAGATGTGAAGTTGCTTCGAGAAAAAGGAATAATTTTGAATCACTTGAGGAGTGATCAAGATGCAGCCGATCTTCGGAATGGGATGAGCAAGTCCATCAGGTTGACGAAAGTGCCTTTCCTTACAAGGCAATTGAAGAAGTTAACAAGTATCATAACGGACGATGGAACATCAAAGCTAAAAACATGATAAAGTCTTATGTGTTTGGTTCTTGGCAGTTTCTTTCATTTTTGGCTGCATTTTTGCTCTTGTTGTTGATGTCATTACAAGCATTTTGCTCTGTTTATAATTGCAGTCGAGTTTTCCATATTGGAACCAGTGATTGAACAAGTTCCTATCTCTTGGGATACATTCTTTCACTCCATGAATTCAGCTTATCGGGGATTGTTGTCCTTTTTTTTTTCAATTTTTGGGTTGTGTGTGATTCTTTTTCTTTCTGTTAATTAAATTTATGTCTAATAATAAAGTAAAAAAAAAGTTTGGTTTAGTGCTTTAATTTCCTTTTCTTTCTTCCAAGGAATATATCACATTGTACTTTAATGGTAACAACTTTGTTCTTTAATCGTTTACATAAAATAAAACTATCCTTTTAATTTGGTTCCTTCTTTTTATTAATTTGCAATTGATGCTCCAGCTATTGCGCTTAAAACAACCAAGGTGCTTTAATTTGGGCTTATTTTTTACAACACCTCCACTTTAACATATCTTATGAATAAATTTTTAGATAACACTTGATAGCGATAAAATAATTAAAGTGAGTTGATTACTAGTGATTTTAAATTATATTTAATACAAGATTATAAATTAATGATGATTTTAAATCATTTTAGTATTATATGAAAAAAAAATCTAAGTACAAAATATCTAAAATAATTGTAAAAAATATTTAAGAGTAACACCAAACTTATTTAAAACAAAGCAGCTTCAATAAAAAATTGGACCCTTCCATCAGAAAAAAGAAGAGGCCAGAAGGACTAGGCAACCAAGCTAATCTCCAAGCACCCTCGGCACCTTCTTCAACAGTTAAGAATAGTGTAGTTTATGTCTGTTTTGATAAAGCCAAGGCTGACACAGTTGATGCAGAAATTGGGATACTTCTCCCTTTGCTCCTTGCTCATCCTCCTCATCATCATTATCTTCCTCCCTCTGGTTTTCTAACTCATACGAGTTAACACTTTCATCATTATTACTGCCATGAGACTTCTCAGAGGTCTCATGAGATATCTGAGCTAGCTGCAGAGCTTCTGAGCTCAAAAGTGGATGCAGCTCATTAAGCATAGAATTATATCTGCCATTCAAGCACTCATTTAAATTCAAGATTTTTCAACCTTTTAATAGAGATTGGATCACTTTCAAGACAATAATCTTATCACTCTAATGATTTAACATCAATGCCATTAAGATTTCAAAAATGCTAACAAACAAGGTAATGTAATTACTTAATGCAAATTATTATAATTTAATAACTCATCATTTCATACCAAATACATATTTAGAGTAATTTAATTTGACATGGATTTCATTTTTAAATTTTTAATTGATTTAAATTTAAAAAACTAACTAACAAAAGCTTTAGATCTAAATAAATAAATAATACTATAGGTTTAAAGGTAAATTCGTTAATTTTTAAAATTTATATGATTATTTACGTGGTTCACTTTTATATATAAAAGATAGCTCTTTTCTATATTTATTTCTCATCTTGACAAACTATATAGAGAATCTGAAACTATTAAAGTCGAAATTTTAACTTCTAACCGTTGAATTCTCTTGGAGACCAATGTGACAGATCATGAATATTGTTAACAATTATATTTATATGTGCAAGAAACCCCTTAAAAAAAAACAAGAAATAGATAAAATTTTACGGCCAGCTGGTTTTATTGCAGTTATAAGTTGCCAAAAAGCTCCAAATATAACTGATAATAACAATTTAAAGACAAATATAGATATGCAAAAACAGCAAGTATGCGTTCAAAATGCCAACCCGAAACATACATTTAATTTACAGCTTCACGTTAATGAAAAGCCATAGATTTCTTTGCATGCCTAAACCCTTTGTTTCACAAAGGGAATTAAGATCAAACCCAGAGATTAAAAAAAAAAAAGAACAGGAATAGTTGCATAAAAGAATGATGATCAGGAGGACGCCTGTAAAATTGAAGCCATTTTTTACTATAGCAGCTTTGTTTCTCATTTTATCAACCGGCTTTTCACTTTCTCATGGACAGAATGAGAATGGTGATCTGCCATCCGAAGATGATTCTCCAGGTATGATTGTTATATGTTGTTTCTTTTTTTTTTTTTCTCCTTTCATATTTGATCATCAAGAACTTTGGGGCTGTTTTTTCGCCAATATTTTCTTTTAATCTTCATGTTTAAATCATTCTCTTACGTGCAGGAATTATGAGCTTGGTGACGGTGAAAATGGAAGAAGCTGGACCAGGAAATGGAAGTTTCATATTAGCTGAGAAACAGACATACAGGAAGGATCCTCTAGACAATTTTAATTATTATACAGGTGGATGGAATATTGCTAACGTACATTACCTGGCTGTAAGATTTCTATACCACATTGCTTTCATGGTAGATAATAAATGTTACTTTCTTCTTTACTCAAGTTTGCTGCAATGCTTCATTTTGAAATATTGTTTTTGAAACTTTAATCTAAGTATCTCAAGAACAAAATGCCAGGTGTGTTTTATTTCACTTGTTTGCAAAAAGAAATTATCAAAATAGATCAAACTCAGTTGTAGATTTGACATTGAATGTATAAAAGTAAATACCTTCTTTAATTTTACAGGACCAAATTCCAATCAATGATGCCAATTTCTAATATATTGCCACTGAAATTGCTTTAATTCTCAGTTGACTTCAATGATGAGTAATTAAAAGTACAGCTCCACCTTTCTGTTTGCAGTCAGTTGCTTATAGTTCTGCTCCTTTCGCCGCCATTGCTATAGTCTGGTTCGTGCTGTTTGGTCTATTTCTGTTATGTACTTGTATTTGTTCCTGCTGCTGCTGCCGCCGCAAGAAGCCCTATGGTTATTCTCGACTTGCTTATGCACTTTCTCTCATCTTTCTCATACTTTTCACCATTGCTGCAATGTAAGTCCTCCAGTATTCAACTCAACATTTCTAAGCCTAGAGTTTTATGTTTTAACTGCTTAATCAATGAAGTACTTGTTTCGTTTTCAGTGTTGGATGTGCAATAATGTACACTGGAGAGGGAAGATTCCAGGGCAGCGTAAACGGTGTAACAAATTACATCGTGAATCAAGCAATAAGTGTCGTCAATAATCTTATAAGCGTGTACAATTATCTTTCATCAGCCAAGAATATCGTTTTGAACCAACATTTTCTACCTCCTAATCTCATAACCGAGATCGACAAGGTCAAGTCGCTAATCAATGCCACAGGAAACATTCCTCATATCAAATCCGCTCACATTACAGATTCCATGCTAAACATTCTTAACCCCGTGTATGTCGTTAATTGCTTTTTTATATCAATATTCACAAGAGAAATAGTCTATTAATAGGCTATTCAATCAATGCTTTGCTCTTTATTGTAGGAACGTTGCTCTTATCACTATTACTGTTTTCCTGCTCCTATTGGCATTTCTCGGATTCTGTAAGCCTTTTGGTTCCCCCAAACTAGTTGGTTATCATTATCCATTCCTATTTAATAGAACAACTATTAATCTATCTCCTCACATTGTCATTGTTGTTGTTGATGGATTGCAGTATTTTCGATTCTTGGCATGCAATCTTGTGTGCATCTGTAAGTGAATTAGAATATATGATTATAGTGTCTTCTTTATTTCTTTTTCTTTTCCATCTTTTCACTGAAAATTTACACTCTATAATTGCAGATTCGTGGTCATAGGGTGGATTGTTATCACACTCACATATATCTTGTGTGGCATATTTCTGGTTTTTCACAAGTAAGTCCAAACAAATCATATGCATTGCTAAACTTGAATCTAACTCTAATAGTTAGTAAGATGTTTAGGATTGATTTCAGAAGGAATTTAGGCATGCATCCATCTTCTGTTATATCTAACCGAATGTTCACCATAATTCAGCATAGTGGCAGATACATGCGTTGCAATGGACGAATGGGTCCAAAACCCCATGGCCAATTCATCAATGAAGGAACTTATCCCTTGTTGGGACAGGGAATTTGGCCAAAATGTCTTGGACGCAAGCAGATCAGTAACCACTGGAGTTAATGGTATTCTGAACCAGTACATTGTCGCTGTAGCCAACAACGAAACCCTTATACCTTCACAAGCAGTACCTGTTTATCACAATCAATCTGGTCCGTTAGTACCCGTCATCTGTGACCCATACACAAAAGGTGACACTCGACAGAGCTGCGGTGTGGGTGAAGTAGCCTTGAGCAATGCAGCCGAGGTAAAAAAGCCTAGAAGCTTAAGCTGTTTTGCAGCTTCAAAACCTGTCCAATTTTTTACGTGATTTATTAGGTTTCATGCAGGAATGGAAGAAATATGTATGTCAAGTATCAGCAGCTGGTATTTGCACCACAGCAGGCCGCCTGACCCCTGACATGTACATCCAGATGAGTTCAGCTGTTAATGTAAGCTTCGGATTGTACAATTATAGCCCCTTCCTTGCTAGTGTAGTGGACTGCACCGTGATCCGAGACACTTTCAAAGACATTAATGAGAATCATTGTCCAGGGCTGAGGAGATACAGTCAATGGGTCTATATTGGTTTGGTAACTGCTACAGGTTCGGTGATGTTTTCTTTGATCTTTTGGGTGTTGTACGCTAGAGAAAGGCGGCACCGGAATTATACCAAAAGGATCAATAAGAGGTATGATGAGTCTCCTCTTGTTGGGGGGAGGAAGCTGTAAAGAATTGAGCAGGTCACATCATTAAGGCTGAAAACTTCTCTGCTTATAAACTATCTCAGAATGTGCACCCTTTCCTTGCTATATAACAAGAAATGGCAAGAACAAAAATGAAGGGTTGGATGGGATGGGATATCTACAACATTCGAAAATCACATCTTTAACGTTATATGATCGTGACTGCTCTACCTCAGATTGGAGAAAAGTGTTCATAAACTAGACCGACTTAATTAGGTTCAAATTAAGCATGTCTTGTTCATATATAGCATTGTCCATTGTTCAGAATTTTAACACCCCATTTATCCAAAAAAACAAAAATTAACAACTATTATTTGTGAGTTCTCATCTAGAATAGAACTTGTGTGCAACTAAATTAATGTTTTGTACGCAAATGACCCCACATATATATGCCGTCTACAAGCAGCAATTACATTAAAAAAAAAAAAAAAACCCTTCAAGTAATTTAACCTAAATTTTCAAAAATTATTTTCCCAATATGCGTGTTTTATTGATGTAAAATAATTTTTGGCAAGTAGTAAATTTATGTTATTGGCAATGGAGCACACCTGATTCTTTCTATTGAATCCTGCCTGCAAGTAATATTCTATTCAACCATATATGTGCTTCCCTTTTTACCATTCTCAGCAGAAGTACAAGTCAAAAGAGTTTCAACTACAATGCCAAAGACAAGAATGGCTTTGAATCATAAGCCTGCAGAACTCAGGATGGTCATTACATTAGTAATCAGTTCTTTTCTTCACTGTTGAGACACAACAAGAAACGAAAACATTCAACGCAATGCTCAGTACCGAATCACATCAATTTCTTCTCCTTCCAACGTTTGTCTTCTTTCTTTCAACCTTCTTTTCACTCTCTCATAAAGCCTCTTCATCTTATCATGAACCAACCAAACCCTTTCCAGTTAGTTATATTTTCTTGGTCTAATGCTCTTCAAGCAAGAAAGTGGTGTTCCAAGAAAAGCAGCATGAACTTTCCTAGGTGGATTTTCCTATATGATTGTTGTAATTTTTGTATTCAGATGCATTTCTATGATTAAAAGATTATATATAGATAGTTAGAGCTTGAATATTGGTATTTTTATAATTTTCATAGCTTGAAGATATTCTCAACTTTACTCGCATAATTTGTCTCCTCTGTTTCTCATTGCTCCATTTTGATTTTTGGGATTTGCCATGTACCTGTCGGTGATCTTTCTCCGCCATTGTTGCTGCCAACATCAGCATTATGGACATTCTCGAACCATTTATCGGCTTTCTCTTATTTTTATCACACTTTTCACCATTGCTGCAATGTAACTCCTCCCCACCACACTTTCTTCTCTGAATGCTGAACCAAAGTATATTGAATTGGATGTTTGTCGAGCGATCAAACACGATGTTTGTTGAAGTGATTCAAAACAGCAACCTGATTGGAATCTTATCGTACCGTCCAAAGAAACAGGCTCCAAATTAAGTGCATGTTTTTGTTAGGTATTTGTTATATTTAATACCAAAATCTCTTGCATCTCACTCTAAACGGAATTGGATCAACTTGGTTGAACCGAGAATTGAAACCCCACCCATTCAATCTAGGGACCTTTTTAACAACTTTGCTTTTCAACGGTCATTCCAACGGTTGTCACATTTGCAACGGTCATACAACGTTTTTTTTCAAATGTACTAAAGCTTAGGATGCAGGGTTAAGATAGAAATTTTATTAGTTTCAAATTTAAATTTCTGAGACCATGGTATCAAGTTATCAACTACCTTTCTTAACTACTGATCGTATTAACTTGTCGAACTTGCGGTTTATTATTAGTTTATTTCCTTTATAATTGGAATAACACTAAACTACGGAGAGCAACAATCGAGTCAAAGAGAATTTTTGTTTATTTTGAATTCGATTCGATTATATATATATATATATATATATATATAATATTCAAATTTGATTCAATTTGATTTTTTATTAATTTTTTTCGTACCTAAATTCAAATCTGATTAGATATTATATAAAATTATACTTGATTCAACTTGAAATTAATAAAATATTATTTTAATATAAAAATAAAATAAAATAAATATATAAATATAAAATTAATTAATTAATTGAAAAAAAATTTTATATATATCGGATTGAGTAGGATAAAGTTTGTCTAAAATTCGATCTCAACTTTTTCTTTCTATCATCATACCTAACCGACTTGATACCTAATTTTCAAAAAAAAAAAAAATCGACCCTAAAAGATCAAGTTGGGTCAAAATTCATTGGATATTGATCAAACTGAATCCTGATTTTTTTTCTATCATATTATATTTTACTCTCTATATTTTATTTTTTTGTCTATCTTTTTTTTATTTGAGATGTCCCAAAATTATGTTCCATTTTTTTTTAATATCTAAAATTTTTTTATATTTTAAAATTATTTTTTTATAATTGTTTTATTTTTTTGAAATTAAAAATAATAGAATTTTAATTTTATAAAAAAATTAAAATTTAATATTAAATACGTTAAAGTCAATTTTTTTTAATTTCACAAAAATCAACATATAACAAATATTTTGAAACAAATGAAGTAATTATCTAAGTAAATAATTATTTCAAAAGTTTAGATTGTGAGATTAAATCAATTTATATATATTTATTTTTTTTGTATCACATTAAATTAGTTAATACCCTTAAAAACAAGGAGAGCGTTTCTGGGTTAATTCCCATTCCATGTGCTTGAGGTGTTATGAATTTCTTTTTTTAATATACTGTCAATGAATATATATCTTTTTAATTTCACAAATGAAATTAAAAAATTGATTCATGTTTTATTTTTTTAATGGACAGTCAAACGTTAACCCATGCTTTAACAGAAACCTCAAGGATTCTATCCATACAAATTGTGGAGTATTTTATTTATTGCTAATAACAACGTGCCAGAAAGCTTGGAATTCAAAGTTCAAAACCCCTACTCTTTAGTCAATTAAGAAAACAGGAGGTCAGTGTGACCAAGGATTAAAGCGTCAACCCCATGGCCAAGCACCTTCGAAAATCCGTGGGCTAAAGCTGAAGATTTGGTAAAAAAAAATTCTCAAAACCCAACAGCCGTATGATTCTATGGGCTGAAAATAATATAAAAGCAAGATCTTGACAACCAGTTTTGATTCATAAAAACTTCAAAATGAGCACCTGGTTTTTGTTGCTGGAATAGTGGAATATGTAGAAAGATGGAAAAGAATAGGATAAAACAAATTGAAGAAAGAAAGGTTATTTTCTAGTTATTGTCTGTTTTATGGGGTTTGGTAACATGTCATTAGTTCAGTCAGAATCTGAGAGTACGTGCCCAAATGAACCTCACATGTGCCAAGTTCTCAGACATCTGTTTGCAAGATAAGGAGATTGAAGCAGAGATTGGTTAATCTGATAAGGATAAGCTGTGTCCAAAATAGGACTGAACCGACCAAAGAGGTTTTCCAGAGTGCTCTGTCTTGTTCATTTTTTAACTTTACATTTGTATTATTGCACCAACATTAGCAATCCGTTCGTAATTATTTGTATTGTTCCTTTTGAGTTAATGGCTTGGCAATTGGCATGCACATGGGGAGTGCAGGGTAAAGGAAAGTAGGAGAAATGTCCTAATATGTCAAGGCCTAATCACAAATTTGTAGAATTTAATCAATAAATTCAAAGCCATACATACAAACATTATGCATGCATGCTACAAATTTCATGTAGCTCTAAGTTGTAACAAGACATGTGAGAAACGAATGTATTTCAACTACAATCTTATTAATTATTTAATTATGTTAAAAATTATATAAAAATCTAACATTTATAAGTGTATTTTGATAAAACTTATATAATTTTAAATTATAATTGATTAATTATAATATAATTATTGTATACCATATGCTTTAATAAATTAACCATCTTAATCACCATGTCTATGGCTGTCACTCAGCCTTCCATGCCTAGCAATTAGTCTCTAGAAATTTAATGCAAGTCTGATCATCAATGATATTACGCTAAAGCATGATCATTAAATAATTAATACTGTGTGTCATTAACCAATTGATACACAAAATGACCAGAAAACTATCTTATCTCATCGTAAAGTTGGACAAAGACAAAGGTCTATTTGGTAAAGCACCCATATACTTATGGCCATATATAAAAGAAGCTAACCGCCCACCCCAAATAAATTTGTTTAAAAGAAGAAGAAAAGAAAGAAAGCACTGGAACTGATCCATTCGATGGCAACGAAGAGCTCATCATCGCCTTCTTCAACACGAGCTTGCCTTTGCTCTCCAACCAAACACCCTGGCTCTTTCAGGTGCAGCCTCCATAGGAGTTTGGGCAAAGTTTCAAGCAAATCGGCGACGCCCCATGTTAACAGACAAAGAGAGGAGTCAAAGGCGGCTATGATGATGATGATGACAGCATCACCTTCATCATCATCATCATCAAAAACAAGCCTGATCAAGGCCTTTCTGATGCAGATAATCAAGCCTTCAAGCCACGATATTCAAAGGCGAAGAAACTTCCATCCAAAACCCACCAGGTTTTGTCCACTCAACAGCTCTAATAATGGGGTGGCAGTTTCTTGACAATCTTTTACCTCTTAAATTCAGAATCTTTAGTTCATTGTGTATATAAGAGATCTTGCAACTTGAAACCCACATGGGTTATCCAGGGAACTAGTGAATTTCATTTTTTTTCTCTCTTGTTTTATGGTTTTTAGTTTTTACTTGCTCTTTTCAATTATTTATTATTATTTCTTTATTTGTTGGGTTATTTAAATTAGAAATCTCTAACAAATTAATTTAGTTCTGGTGATCAGTTTGAAATATATGCGCTTTTGAACATAGATTTTATATATACGGTAAAAAGTACAATGCATTATCTCTTTATGCTCTTCAAGAAGACGAGGCTACTAGATTTGGCAAAAATTAGTAACATAGTTTTTTTACCATGTTTTGATCTACATAGAATTATTTATTATGTAATTTTTACTCGATTTTTATTTTCTTCAACTCTAACTACAAAATTTTATTTTAAAATCTATCTTTTTTATTTTTTGTAAAAAAAATAATGTTTGTAAAAATAATGAAGATTTTTTCTGTCAAATACTCATATAAATGTATTTAAAAAATAATAAAAATTATGATAATATTTCAACATCATTTCGTTAAGTTTAAGATTTTTACCATGATTTATAGAGAAAGAAACCATTTAAATTTGTATGAATACATTAATATTTTAAGTAGGTGGGATCAATGCCGGCCAGCTTATAATAAATTATTATTAGTTGCACCAATGTTAACGATATTAATTAATCTAAAATTTCCTTAACACTTTTTTTAAAAAAGAAAATATCCTTAACACTATTTTTTTTCTTTTTGAAAAAAAAATATATTTAATCTTTATCCAATATAAGGGCAGAGTGGAACAGGGGATCATCTTTTCGAAGAAAAGAAAGACACTATATAATTTACCAAAATTATTGGTGTATGTAGGAATCAATTGAATAAGACAAATGGATAACACCTGTCAATGGGTCATACTTACCCTCTTGGCTGTTATATTTTCGATGAAATTAATCTCCTCAAAACCTTTCAACATATATATATATATATATATATATATATGTATATATATACATATATGTCCTCGTTCATTGGCATTGTTATTGTGTTATGTATGGTAGCTATATTAAATTATTAATTTTTTTTTTTATTTTTGTAATGTTTTTGGCTTGCCTAAATATAGACATCAAATTTATATAAAATTTTAATTGAATCTTAGTTTAAAATTTATCGAATTTATCGGGTTCTCAAGTTGAGATCCGATTTTCATTCAATCGAGCTTGGGGCCTAATTTCAGTTTTTAGGCCTAAGCTTATTTTTTTTTTTATTGTATTTGTTTAATATTAAAATACATTAATATAAGTATTAATAATTAATCAAAAAATATAAAAACAAAAATAAAAAAAAAAAAACAAAGAGGTAGAAGGGCTAGTGGTAGTGGGTGTTATGACGACACCATTGCCACCTACAGCTTTTGTCCCCTAAGCATTACCAAAACCAGAGCCCTTATCCATACACCATACCCTGAACCTCTCTGCATACCTATTCACTCCCTAAGCCTCTACCCACCAACCCTCCTATCCAGTAGAACAACAAAACCCATGCCCTGGAGCCACCTACCTAGGTGAAGGCATGACCAAAACTCTTTAAATAGAGCTCTGTGGCGGCGAACCAGAAGGGAGGAGATCTTAAGAGTCAGCCCAAATGCCTTAAAAAAAAACCAAAAAAAAAGAAAAATTCTTACAAAAAAAAGCTTTTGTAAAAAAAAAAATCACTCCAAAAAAAAAGCATGAAACAAAAAAAGAACATAATCTCTCCGATGAAGGAACCTAGCATCGAATTCAACAAAAAAAAATCAAGATCCAAAAAAAAAAAAATAGTCTATGACCAAAAGTTGAAGAGTAAATATAGGCCATTTAGAACTCTTTTTTAAGAAAAGAAGATCGCATCTGTAAAAAAAGGAGACGAGAGGTGTGTTTGGGGTTTTTTTGCATTTTTCGATCACTGATGGCAACTGACGATTGACATGACAGATAGTGATCAATTTTTGGCAACCGATCGACCCCTGTTTTATTTTTTTGTTTAGAGAGTTTTTGGACTTTTTTATTTAAAAAGAGAATAAAATGAACAAAAATTTTTTTTTAAGCTTTTATATAGGTAGCTAATAGTCAAAATAACGTCATTTTAAATCACTAAAATTTGTGTACCAACCCACAACCTGACTCGAGATCCGTGTAACTAATCCATGACTTAATTCCTCTTTGCCCAAACCAGTCCAGTTGAACCAGCACTAGGCTATTTGATCGAACTGTTGATCGATCTAATTCAAGTAAATTTTTTTTTATTTTTTGACTTATTTTTTATATAATGTTTTTGTTATTTTGAATTTTATTATTAATATTTATCATGTTAAAATTTTCTAAATTTCTTATGATGATTATTTGTTGTTTTTATAATATGAAATTAATAAAAAATGAAAACAAAAAAATAAATAACACTAAATAATGAAAAACAAAGTCTTTTTTTTTTTTTACTAAAAGTTAAAATGAACTTTATAAAACAATATAATCATAATAAAAATAATATCTAAGGATTATAATACTAACACTAAAAAAATGATTTTTAAATTTAAATTTTTTTAATTTGAAAAATGGTAAATAACCAAAAATAAAAAAAAATGTAAGAAAGAAAAATTTTATCCGATGATAAGATTCAAAAGTATTTCGAATAATGATACCTACAAAATCTCTAAGTGTAAAATTTTTTTTAAATACTACCAACGTATTTGAGTATTTATAAAATTTTTTAATACAATAAAAAATTTTCTTTTATCTATAAAGTAAAAATAAAAATTAACTAAAAATTATATAATAAAAATTAACTAATTTATTAATAATTCTATAATAAGATTCTAACACTATGTTTGGATTGAGGGGAGGGGAAAGAAAAGAAAATAAAATAAAACAAAGTAATAAAAACAAAAAAATAATTCATTTGTTTGGATAAATTTTTAATTTAAACGAAAATAAAAAAATGAAAACTGAATAACCTTTAGTTTCTCTTGTAATATTTACTTTTTTAATACCCTAATTTGGAGAAAAAGCTAAGGAAGTTGAAAAAATTTTATATTTATAAAAAACTACTATATACATGAGTGTTCTAAAATCATAAACAATGAAATGTTATAATTAAAAAAAATTTTATAATGAATTATTTCTTTTTTTTTCACTCTTTATCTAAACAATGGTTGTTAAAATTTTTTTCTTTTCATTTCCTTTATTAATCTTAATTATCCAAATAATGAGTATATATATTATTTCCTTTCATTTATTAATATTTATCTAAACATTGCGTAAAAGTATTTCGAGTAGTAATGTTTTATGAAATCTCTATATGAGAAGATTTTTTAAAAATATTACTAGTGAATTGAAATATTTATAAAAAATTTTAATATAATAAGAATTTCTCTCTTTTTTGAAAACAAAATAATATAAAAAGAATAAAATTTCTGAAAAAATAAAATGTGTGCATCAACATATTGTCATTCGCATAATATGCATGATTTTGTTTTTACAAAAAGTAAAAACGAACATCCAAAGATGAATTTTAAGGTATTCTGAAAAGTGATACTTAAGAAATCTTTATGTGAAAAAAAGTTCTTATAATGTTATCAACGTATTAGAATATTTTAATAATTATTTCAATAAAAGGGTTTCAATTTATTTTTCAGATAAAATGAAACAACAAAAAAGGTAAATAAATAATAAAAAGATAAAAAAAAAACAAATTCCATTAAATGAAAGAAGTTAAGGAAATTATTTTTAAATACCAAAACGAATACTGTTTTTGTAAAAATTAAATGATAACATGTATTTAATTGGCACTGTTTTAAATGAAAATGATAAGGGTGCTAATCACTCCCTATGCATAATCGACTTCTAGATTCAAACTATTTCGTAGATCCTAAAATTATATTTTTAATAAATTTTAAAATTTTATTAAAATGATATGTTTTAATAGGTGCGCACCTAGCAAAAAAAATGATGGCATCTCCATTTTACATTTTTTTTTTTCGTTTCCAAATTCATCAAAAAGCTCTAAAACCATTATGACATGGATCATTATATTTTTCACTACCCAAAGGACTATTTTTAATAGTTTTTATTTTTTATTTTTGCAAAAGCATAAAAAAAATCTAGCACCAAAATTCAATAATTATGTAAAAATATTTTTTTTATCAATTGATTCTTTGTTAAAGAAAAATGATTAACTCTTTTTGTCTAATTGAGAATTTAATTGTAAATGTATAAAAGTTCAATTGATTCCGAATAAAAGATTTAAAGTATAATTGATTTTAATAAAATATTAAAAATTTAAATGATTATTTAATTTTTATTCGAGAGTTTTTTAAACCTCATTCTTTTTTTTTTAATTAAATCACTTATACTAATAAAAATTATAGTGATTAACAATCGAGTCATTTGTGATATAATCTCATATTTTTAATTTAATAATAAAAAATCAATCCTTATTAATTTTAAATATAAAAAATAAAAAATTGCAATGTATATTTAATAAAGAAAATAAATAAACAACTAAACAAGTAAAATAACCAATCCAAAAATCAATATAAAATTAAACAAAATTTATACAAGGTGAAACTTTAACATGCAATCTGTAATTACATAGCCTATTCGATAAATAATTTAAAGAACATCAGCTAGAACTACCACATCAAATAACATTATCAATTGATAATTAAACAAATTATACATACCATAAATTGTTGATGTCTTGATAATCTTGTTAGGTTAAACATACAAATAAGTTTGGATAAAACAAACAAATTTTAATTATGATTGACTCTCCCAATGATCCTTCTTTTATGTAATAGTATCAATCGATGGACCATGACACCTCCTTTACACTATATTTACAATAACATTTTAGCAACTAATTTTAGCAAATCAAAATCAATTAGCCCATATATGGTACGAAATTGTCCAACATTCTCACAGGCTTATTGTTTTTATTATATAAATATAATTTAAAACCAACTCTAAGTCTTATTTTATTATATAAAAATATTTTTAAAACCACTATTTTAGTGGCCACAATTATAAAACATCTCAACGCTGGTACATAGGTGTTTGTGGGCTAGCTTCATCCGATCCGGGCGTCCCGATTTGAAAGTCCAGTCCTAGTTTGGTCTCGTTTACCCATTTTATTACATTAAAATAATATTTTTAATTAGTATTTTAGTACTTTTAAATATAATTCTTAATTGTGTTAGGAGTGAATTTGAAAATAAACAATTAAAAGAGAAAGAAAAAAAATTTAGCAAAACTGAACGTTGATCAAATTATTATTTTTCGATATTTAAATCACATTGCCAAAGATAAATTTTAAAATTCAAGCCAATCTGCTCTGAAATTTATTTATTTTATGTAATTTTAATATGTATTTTGAACTATTAATATATTAATATGAAAATTTTAATAATATTTTAAATAATAATTGCATTAAGTAAGGGTTATAATTCGATTTAAATTGAATTAACTTATCGAATTGATTTAATTCGATGAATTAATTGATTATTTAATTAATTTTTGTCGGTTAAATAAAATAATTTTAAAAAAATTTTAATTTTTGATTAATTCAATTTAAAAATTAAATTAATGAAATAAATTGAAATATAATCTAATCTAATTATAAAATAAAAAATATATGAAATAAATTATTTAATTTCATAACTTATTAGAGTTTTTAACATAATACATTAATTTTTAAATATTTTATTGGATAATTTTATTTAATTATTTAAAATTTAAAAAATTTAAAATTTAAAATATAATTTAACTTAAATATATTTATTATTTAATTAATTAAAAAATTAATCAAATTAATTAAATTAAATTCAATCGACTAATTTTTAAAATTTATAAATTTAATTCGATTAATAAAAATAAAATATTTAATTTAATTTAATTTTAAATAATTTAATTTAAAATTAAGCGAACCGATTTAACGAATATCAAAATGACTCTCGCCTTGGACAAAATTGTAGAAGTATAAAAAACACGCGGCCCGGTCCGACCAGACCAGACCACGCACGCTGTACAACAGTACAAGTGCCCAACGTTGGAATTCTCAGCTCTCTCTTATGGCACGATTATAAAAATTTCCTTTCCCTTTCGGTAAATATTCTCTTTCATTGCACTTGATTATGAATTTTCTTCCTCTGTTGCCTCGTTTTGTCATTGTCCCAATTTCAGGTAAGGTTGGCATTGCGTGAGTGATTTTTTTTTCTCTTTCCCCTTTCTGCAATTTTCTGCCCTCAATTCAAGCGGCAAACACTGAAACAGACACAAGGTTCTTCTTCTTCTTCTTCTTCTTCTTCTTCCAATTTTCTATTTTTTATATTTTACCTTCTTTTTATTCTTCCTCTGTCCTGCAATTGACACCATAAGATTAAGATTTTTTGAAAATTTTAAATTTTGCTTTGATTTTTCAGTCATAGATTTGGGATTTGAGAGCTGAATTTGGATCCTTTTTTGTCTGTTCTGACAATTAGAAAATCTTTTGTAAAGTTAGATATTTTAAATTTCGTTTTTAAGCTAAAGAAAAAGTTTACTGGGAAATGTTTTCCCTGGGAAATAAAAATCATTGTTGAGAATTTCTGTTTCAGGAAATAATGGATACAATTAATTCAGAGGCAACTACTAGTGGAGAGGCTACCACAGGCTCAGGTGATCCGAGAGAGCAGTGGCGGATGCAGCTGCAGCCTGAGTCACGACAAAGAATTGTCGCCAAGATGTATGAATTTTATTTTTTTTCACATATATATTGCATAATTTATTGTTCAAATATACTCTTTGTACCAATTTTTGGAATTTAAATTTAATTATAGGAATTTTTTTTTTCAATTCACAAAATGATAGCCTTTTACTTTGTAATATTTTGGACTGAAAAAAAAGGGGTAATATGGTAATAAAAGTTGCAAAATTAGCAAGGAAATTTCTTGGCATGGTAATTAGAAATTCTTTTCCCTTAATCTCACTAATTAAAATATGGTTTTTGTATTTGATTGTTCTTCATTAGTTGCAGTTCCATAATTTCAGCTTATATATAATTTCTACTGAGTATTTGATCGGTGGAGGCTCATGATATTTGACCTTTCCATATTGATAAAATTTGCACTAAATCTCCTTTGCTATGATTTCTGTATATTGAAGTCTAGAAATGACATTGTCAGTTTGAAGGGACAGTTGTTATTGTTTCCTTTATATTTTATTTAAATTTCTTCACGATTTATTTAGAAATTTGGGTGAACGAACCATTTTGTGTCACCATTGGTTTATTATCAACGGTTCTCTTCTGCTAATACTAACTTTTTCATGTCCAAGTGCTGGCTTGGGCGCCAGAGGGCGGTACTTCCTCCTCACTATTCCTTGCCCCCAAACGGGGCTTGGGTGATTAATAAATTAAATGCTCATGAATATAATGCCTTGCATATGTAGAATGGATACACTGGAAAGGCACTTGTCCCTACCCGTTCAGGGTCAAGAAGGATTAATTGCACTCAGGAGTTCTGCTGTAAGGTTCGAAGAAAAGATGTATGCTATTGCAACCAGCCAGGTAATCACAAAATTCTGATATTCTATAGTTTGGGTGTTTGTTGTTATGTATTAGTTTTTGATTCAGCTGTTTATTTTAACCTTTTTCCTCGCGCATGGGTATATGCAGGCACATACTCATCATATTGTTGTAACTCATCATTTTCCATCATGTACCCATATCCAACATGTATCATATGAACTTGGTTATGAAGGTCGAATCCTCCAAATATGAAAAAATTGAACATACTTGCATCTAACATATCCTTATATCTGGGGCCTTACCCTCGAGTTTGAGTAATATGGCTTACGCACATACTCATACAGTTAACTTACCTATGAGAAAAACAATAGAAATTATTTGGTTAGCTGTTTTCTTATTAATTTGTTGCTTTGATTAAATTTTAAAGATCTAAACACGCTCATACCACTTAACTTACCTATGAGAAAAACAACAGAAAGTATTTGGTTAGCCTTTTCCTTGTTTATTTGTTGCTTTGATTAAAAATTTAAGATCTAAAAGTTTTAATAATTTGCATTTTCAGTCAGATTATCTTAGGAGAATATCACACAAGATGCTTTTGATTGAGAGCCGATATCAGACCCTTTGTGTTGACGCAAAGCCTGTTTATATTGGAGCAAAAAGAAAGGGGGTGATGGCTGCGGCTCCTTGCCTGCAGTGAAGACAATTTCCCATGCCTTGAATTGTCTAACCACACCCAGACACAAGCGACTCAATGGCATTTTCATGACAAAATCAGATGCTTCATCAGTTTTAGTGGGAATGAGAAAACTACAATTTAAATAGCTTGTCAATAAGCGTCATCAAACATTGTCTTAAGTATAAAATGAAGGGCTACATTCCTTATTTTGGGATAATAGAGTTATTAGGATTTGGGAATGAGGAAATGTGTTTTAAATCCTTTTTTTTTTTTTTTTTGGGCCTTTCGTTGGCTTCGTTCATTCTTCTCATCCTTACCTCATCTTACTTTTTCGTCTTATCCATTGTTGTGGTTGCTTGCGGTTTTCCGTTGGATTATGCTGCGCTTTTATCGGTCTGTTACTTGCTTCTATTTTCTTTCTCCTTGCTTTTAAGGTGTTTTATGTTTTTCACGTGCATTTATTTGGCTTTTTATGGGAATATTATCAATGAGTTCGGATAATAACATTTCATTAATAAAATGAATCATATGATGTTGTATATTTTTTAAAAATTATTAATTTTTATATATTTAATTTAAAAATTAATATTTATTAATTAATAATATAATATTATTTGATTTATTAATAATATAAAAATATTTGATTCACTAAGACATTATATCAAATATAACCTTTTTTATTATATAGAAATATATTATTAGAAATAGAATTATAGGTGATTACTTACCAGCAACCCCTTAAAAAAAGTAAAAAGGCAATTTTACCCTCCTAATGCTAGGTGTACGAGTTATTAACCTTTGGGACTCAATCACTCCATAAGCTCCAGCCAAAAACCCTATTCCATAGGCGAGAAAGTGAAGAGCCACTCTTCAATAATTCGGATTAACTACAAAGATAGATCTTTCCAATCTTAATCGTTTCCCAACAATTACTCTTGATTCTTTGGGTACAATCAACAATTACTCTTTTAATATTAGAGTAATTAAGATCTAACTTTTATAAAAGTCTGATGATTTGATTATCTGTGACTATATTTTAGGTTTTTTTTTTTTTGTTCGACATTAACCAATACCAATAACTTGAAGTCTACGCTTGCAAGGGAAAGGCCAGCCATGGAGACAGGTGACTGGAGAACCCAATTGCAGAGTGATTCCCGACAAAGAATTGTGAACAAGATGTAAAGTATATTTTAGCAATCTTCATAGTCAATATTTTAATATGTTCATTAAAGTTTACTAATGCAATGCGTTTTCGAATTGTAGAGTGGATACTTTTAAGAAGCACCTTTCATTTGGTGGGGAAGAGGGGTTAAATCAACTCAGAAAAATTGCTGTCAGATTTGAAGAAAAGACTTATACTACAGCAAGTAGCCAGGTAATCATAAAAATATGGCTTTCCATGATTTGTAAGCAAATCGGATTAAATATGCACTTTATTTGCATTCCTAGAAGTTGGATTCGTCAATTTTAAACACGGATACATGTTTTGTGTTTTGTGTTTGAAACGTTGATACATGTAGTAATTTTTGTGTTTTATAAGTATAAACACAAAATAAACAAATATAAATACACGAATTTATGAATCTTCTGTAAGCTTGCAAGTAAAGCAAATGAAATATAAAAGGAGGAAAAAGTGTTGGTTTTCTCCATATAAAGGCCAGTACAACTTGATTATTTTTGTTTCTTTTATTTACTAAGCAAGTTAAAACTAATTATTCATCACTAATTTAGTCGGATTATCTAAGGAGAATATCTTTGAAGATGCTTACTATGGAGGTCAAGTCTCAGAACACTGCAAACAATTCTGGCAATTGTAGCAATCTCCGTGATCCAGGTAATCATACGAAACAAAAATTTGTGCTTTTTTTTCCTGCTGATAGTTAACAAAATTTTGCCTTTTACATGCATCAGAAATGGAATTTCACTGTCACTTAGGTATTAATTAAAACCAGGTGCATAATTTCTGCTGGTAGAGAGGTGAGTTAAAGGAGTGATATATTTTCTAATGGTGACCAAATGAGAAATACCCTTACATTCTTTTCTTCCATGAATGTGTTACTAACATCTCTGTATGTCTTTAATACGGATTTGGTTGGTGCCTTTAGTGTTTTGAATGCCTATATTCAATGAATTGGTGGCTTTTTTTTTAATGTCTTTTCCTGTTTGTTCTGCAAATTTTGTCCCCATGTTTTGTCTTTTCTTCTACTGGATAGGTTCCCGAGGCACGCAGTCCCAATTTAATAGTGAAGGGGCTACCACAGTTTCAGGTGATCTGAGAGAACCGTGGCAGATGCAGCTGCAGCCTGAGTCACGACAACGAATTGTCTCCAAGATGTATGAATTTCTTTTCTATATAATAACATAATTTATTGTTCAATAATATTTGCACCAATTTTTGGAAATTTAAATTCACGTATAGCCTTTTACCATGTAATTTTTGGATTGAAAGAAAAGAGGGGGTAGTGTAGCAATGGAAGTCACAAACTTAGCAAGGCAATTATTTGGCATGGTATTTAGAAATTCTTGTCCCTCCATCTCACTAATGATCGATATTCCATATTTTGAGGTTGATGAAATTTGCACTAAATTTCCATCGCTATGATTTGTGTATGTTACTATAATTTTCATGGCTAAGTGCCTATTTGAGAGCATGGTGCAGCGCAGTGGCAGGGTGTTTCATCGAAAAGTTGAAGGGCCAGTGCGGTTGGGATGGGGAGTCCCTCTCACTACATTGCCCCTTGCTCCCAATAACTAGAATACTTACTAATATAATGCCTTGCATTCGTAGAGTGGATACACTAAAAACGTACCTGCCGTTTCCAAGCCAAGAGGGATTAAATGAACTCAGGATGATGGCTGTAAGGTTCGAGGAAAGGATTTATGCTATTGCAACTAGCCGGGTAATGATCCCAAAATGCTGGCATTCTATAGTTATGTGCAGGCACATAAGCTTTATCTTGCTTCGATTATTTATTTTTCATAAATTGCTTGCATTGTATTAGACACGGACGAGATTATAAAAGTTCAACTCTTCAAATATAAGAAATTCACATTTAACATTCACTCTTTAATTAGATCATAAGGGTCCTGTCATAATTAAAGCATAAACCCTGACGCAATGAGAGCTCTCTCGTTATGCATCCAAATCAGATCTTAATAATTGACATTTACTTTAATAACTGAATTAACATAACATACACATGTAGTCATAAGTTTTAATTAAGTTACATATTGCACAGAAAATATATATAAGAAGGAAACAAAAGATTATTTTGGTTAGCCTTTTTTTAACTAATTTGTTGCTTTGAGAAAAACTTTGATATATCTAAACGTTGTAATAATTTGTATTTTCAGTCAGATTATCTACGAAGAATATCTTTCAAGATGTTTTTAATGGAGAGTCGGTCTCGGCCCTCTCCGACTGTTTGTATTGCTGCGAAAAGAAAGAGGGTGATGGCTCCTTCACCGCAGTAAAGAGTTCAATTTCCCATGCCTAGGATCGTTCGCTCAGCGGCCAGTTACAAGCGACTCGTGGAGTTTCAAGGCAAAATCAGACGAACATTCAGTAACAGTAAATTTCGAGACCCAAAAATTGAGCTGAGAAAAGTGTTATCCAATTTTTATTTTTAATTATTTTTTAAATACTTTACTAACTTGTTAATATTTCTTATATTGTTAATATTACAGATTTACAATAATCTCCTCTAATATATTATTTTTATGATATTTATTTATCTTCAATAGTAAAATATTATTTTTGACATATTATGAGAAAATTCATCCGAACTTTCCCAAAACTTGTAAATCATTAATATTTTGGACTTTAATTTTTTTTATTTATACGGCCTTTAACTAATAATGAGTTAATAAAGATGTCCAAAGATTGGGATTTTCACCTACGTCCATGGATCCTGCTTATTGGTGTAGGCATAGCTTTTTAATCTTGAATTAGTCCAATCTTGTTCGATTAATTTTTTTTTATTTAATTTTATCTAAAATATTAATATAAAATAAAATTATGAAATAGATTGATTGAACTCAGATCTTGCTTTTGAAAAATGAGTTCTAGAGGCTTGACTTCGGTTATCATCACTTTTATTTTAAGGGGACGTTTGATTTAGGAAAAAATAATATTTTTGATTGGAAATCATGTTTTTAGTATTTTGATTATTTAGTTTGATTGGGAAATTTTTTCTGTATTAAGAATTTTATATTAATAAAAAAAGAAAAAAATATAGGAATCAAAATCTCTTATTGTGAGATTTTTTTTAAAATTTCACAAAAAAAAAACTTGTTTTTATTCTCACTCAATTATATTTTTAAATTATAATATTTAAAAAAAAAACTTATTTTTCTTACTCTTATATTTCATAAACCAAACCCCCCTAAAATAGCAATCAAATGTCTGATTTTATTATAAGGAAAATTATCAGTCATAGTATTTGAACAATGACAAATAAATTTGGAGAAGAGAAACAAGAGACAAACAAAAGAAACAAAGCATAGAAAAATGGAAAAAGAAGACAACAATCCAACTCGACCTGACGGCTCCATCTATGCTTTTTAATTTCTAGCGACCTATAGAGCAGTAATTTAAAGCACCATTCCATTGAATTGCACCAAAAGTTGAAACATGATTACCTAAGGCCTAAGCAAATTCTTTGTTTCTTTCTACTCAGCAGCAGCTTCTTCTTCTTCATATATATCCCTTTCATTTTCATCTTCCTTATCATCATCATCAAAACAATTGATTACGATCATGATATTGATGAAAGCAAGTTTGTACCAAGTTTAACTGATAACTTGTGATCACATTTCTTTCGTTTTTTTTTTTTTGGTCTCAATTTTTGTTTATAACCCAAGTTAAAAAACAATCCTGGTTTTAGATTCTTTCTGGTTTCTGCTCAGATCATGGATTATAGAGGTAATTTTCTCAAGTTTTGTACCATCTTCTTTTACTTACCCCTTCAATATTGATGATTCCCTGCTTTCTTAATGAAACAAAATTTTCCAGTTTTAATTAGTTAGTCTTTTGCAGTTTTACATACATAGCTTTTTATTTTTTGCCATCTCTATATACTTTACAGATAGCGAAAAGGGGGCATATTGTCAAGAGACAGCGGACCAAGAGGTAATTTGTTAAAGTTTTTTTTAAAGGTTATATTTCATGCACTATCCATCTATTAATTTCATATACTACCGGTGAACTATATAATGATAGTTCATTAATTAGAAAGTAAAAAAATCAATTTTTTATATATTTATTTTAAGAGCTTGTAAAAAATTTATATTGCATGATTCATTATAATATATCGAATGAACAGCACATTAACTATAAACTCTTGATGTATTGTCCATATGTAGACTCAATACATTGTAAAATTAGTTATAAAATTTCACAATAAAAAATCTTTGTGTTCGAATTTAGCTATGAAATTTTAAATCAGTTACTCTTAAATCGACTTTTAATAAAGTTATATAGATTAAAATTGAAATAATAGAGGGATTAAATTCAGATTAAGCATTTGTGACTATAGTTTGGTTTAAACTTTTTATGAAAATCTGATTCGATTAAGCATTTGTGACTATGTTTTTTTTTCTCTTTTCTTTTTTTTTTGTTAGACATTAAAGAATACCAGTAACTTGAAGCTTACACCTGCAAGTGAAAAGCCTGCCACGGAGGCAGGTGATTGGAGAACCCAATTGCCGAGTGATTCAAGACAAAGAATTGTGAACAAGATGTAAAGTCTACTTTTACTACTTCCATTGTCAAAATTTTAACATGTTCATTAAACTTTACTAATGCATTACCTTTGTATATTGTAGAATGGATACATTGAAGAGACACATTCCATGTCATGGGGAAGAGGGATTAAATCAAATCAGAAAAGTTGCTGTCAGATTTGAGGAAAAGATTTATACTGCAGCAAATAGCCAGGTAATCACAAAAAGTCATGGCATTCCATGATTTATATGGATGAACATTTTTGTTGATTGTAGCAGCATATCTGCTTGAATCTGCATCTTATTTGCATTCCCAGAAGCTTGCCTTTTTATCTGGTTTCTCTGTACAGCACAACTTGGTTATTTGTTTTTATTTTGCTTTTGTTCACTAAGCAAGTGAAAACTGCTTATTCATCTCTAATTTCAGTCGGATTATCTAAGGAAAATATCTGTGAAGATGCTTACGATGGATGTCAAATCTGGCGAGCTCCGTGATCTAGGTAAGCACATGAAATAGAAGTGGAATTTCACTAAAAATAATTATTAGTTTGTTTCTAATGATTGAGGTTGCCAGGATTTGAAACATCACTTAAACAAAGAGTCCAGCACTCCACCAACCGTTATTGGCAAAAAATTATTAGTTAATTTTTAACATTAAAACAGATTTGCCTTTGGTGTTTGAATGCTTATCAATGAATTGGTGGTTTTTTTCTTTTTTAATGTCTTTTCCAGTTTGATATTTGTCTGGATGTTTGTTCTCCAAATTTAGTACCCACGTTGCATCTTTTGCTTCTTCTTCTACTGATAGGTTCCCAGAGCATGCAGTCCCATTTTCATAGTCGAGGGCTATCACATCCTATTCCATTCTCAGGAAGTCATTTTCAAATAGGGAAACAGCTGTTTCAACAAAACATTCCAAACGACACGGTATCTTCTGGAGTTGAAAGTTCTGCTGGTTTACCATCTGCATCACCGTCAATATCTGGTTTGACCCACATTCCCATCCCCAATGTTGATGAGAATCCCAGCAAGCAGAAGACATCTGACATTTCACTGATTTCAATTGGCAAATCAATTGGGCAAGATGAACCTTCCGATATCTCTCCAAATTCATCTAGTCAAATACAAGGACAGCAAGAGGTGCTTGCCAAACAGCAACCACAAGCTCTTCAACAGCAGTCGCTTTATCAAAAGCAATTGCAACATGCTCTTCTTAAGAAAAAGTTGCAGCAGCAGCAGATGCCTCCGTTGCAGTCAATGATGCCACCAGGCTTTGAGCCAATAACACCGCAGATGGTTATGCAACAGAGGCAGCGGCTGCAGATGCAGCTACAGAGGCAGCGGCAGAGGCTGTTGCACCAAATGCAGGAACAGCACCGACTGCAGCAGCAATATTTGAACCAGCTTGCTAAGCAGCAGTCACCTGTAATGATAAAAACAAATGAATTGCCACAGCTGCATCAGATGGATGATATAAATGACATGAACATGAGACAGGGAATAGGCGTTAATCCTGGGGTTCTTCAAGCAAATCTCCCAACTGGCCAACTTCCAGGTTATTCATATGAGCATTCAAAACCTAGTGCCAAATTTCTTACATCTTCACCCCTACTCTTTCAGGCTCCATTTCTCCCATCTACTGCAACCCTGTTGAGTCCATATCTATATTTTTAGGTCTTCCTTTTGATCACTTAAGCTTATCTATCATTTACTCCTATTCCAACTGAACTTCTTAGTTATAGACGGGTAATGTATAATAAGCTTTTGACTGGAGAAATTCTATAAGTAGCCTTGAAAAATAAAAACGATCTTTGAACTCGAAGTTTGTCTTTTGTGTCACAATGGAAAGTCAAAATTTATTTGTTCCTTTCAGAGTTGGTTGTTTTTTGCTCGTAATACACCCTTCTTCCACAAATTATCTATTTCGATATTGTTTTACATATATGCCAACAAAATCATGTATTCGTATGCATGGAACAATTTTTCTTCGCTTATTCTCCTTCCTCCAAAAATTTCCTTTTTCTGACGTGTGCACGGTTTATTTATCTTTTTATAGCATCTTTAGATTCCACAGCTCAAACAGGACAATGCAAATGGGGATGATTTGGCAAGAAGAGGTCTATCAGAAGGTAAAAACACTATCTTGACTTTTTCTCTATAGATAATATTACACTTTCAACTTGTTTTTAAGAAGATTTTAGGTGTTGGAAAGTGGTTCTGAAATATTAGAGTATGTTGGGATGCGTCTCTTAACAGGAACGATAAAACTGAAGAAGTAGGAACTTGAAATAAATTTGGTAAAAGAAATTCAGACATTTTCTGAATTACTTATTACTTTGTTAATAAGGACTTGAATTCTTTTGGCTTGTTCCTAGACGAAAGAAAATAAAGCTTATTTAAATCCTTCAGCTCTTGACTAAAGATCTATTAAAATTGGTGAGCAAGAAACCTAAGCCCAAGGGTATCTTGCATGCTTGACTTCAAAGTGATAATCATTTATTGATACCTTTGTTTCTTTTGTTATTAACTAAAATCAGTGCCTGCTAGTTAGAAAATGGAAAATTCTTGTTACTTTTCTAATAAATCATGACACTTGGATAAATTGAGTGGTTTAATTGTTGGTTAAGAATTCTGTTCCTGATTTTATGTTGCAGATCAAGATCATGAAGGAGATATATTTACCTGAATTAAAAGAGATTTACCAGAAAATTGTTGCCAAGATGAAGCAGGTAGGTTTATTCTTTTACATAATCATATATATTCATTTCCTAGCCTCCGGGGAGTGGTAGAACCCATCTGCACCATTGTCTGCCGCCCTGTATCTCTAAATAGAATCTAGAGAGAACTTCACTACTCCACATTAGAAAGCTTTTGATCCCATACCGCTTTCAGGTTGCTGCTTGAATCCCCTTCCCGTAGACACTGTTTAGTGGTTGCACTTATGTGTATCTGGTGTAAGAGCGGTTTTTAGTTTTACTTGCATCAGTTGAAACAATTTTGTGTACTATTTTCCAGCATGATTCTCTTGCACAGCAGCCAAAGTCAGAGCAGCTTGAGAAGTTGAAAATATTCAAGATCTTATTGGAGCGGATTATAGTTTTCTTATCAGTTCCCAAAGCCAGTATCGTACCCACTTTCAAGGATAAGTTGAGTTTGTATGAGAAGCATATAATAAATTTTATAAATGCCAATAGGCCAAGGCAGCCTGGCTCAGCACTGCAGCAAGGACAGCTTCCTCCGCCTCATATGCATTCCATGCCACAGCCACAACCTCAAATTAATCAGACTCAGTCTCATGATAATCAAATGAACCCTCAGTTGCAGTCAATAAATTTACAAGGTTCTGTGCCTACAATACAAGCAAACAACATGACAAGTTTACAGCATAATTCTTTGCCTTCTTTACCTGGGGTTGCGACAGAGCAGCAGACCATGTTAAATTCACTGCAGCCCCGTTCCAATTTGGATGCAGGACAACGTAATGCCCTAGGCTCAATGCAGCAGGCTGCTGCAGGACCCTTACAACAGAATCCTGTGAGTTCCTCCCAACACGCAAATATTAACATTTTATCTCCACAAAGTGGCTTAAGTGTCCTGCCGCAAAACATGAATCCTCTTCAGTCAAATTCCAACATACTTCAGCACCAGCATATAAAACAACAATTGGAACAGCAAATGCTGCAGTCACAAATGTACAAACAACAGTTTCAACAGTGTCAGATGCAGCACCAATATATGCAGCAGAAGCCGCAGCTACTGCAACAACTACAGCAACAGCAACAAAAGCAGCTGCATCAAACGGATGATATAAATGACGTGAACATGAGACAGGGAATAGGTGTTAATCCTGGGTTCTTCAAGCAAATCTCCCAACTGGCCAACTTCCAGGATATTCATATGAGCATTCAAAACCTAGTGCCCAGTTTCTTACATCTTCACCCCTACTCTTTGAGGCTCCATTTGTCCCACCTACTTCAACCCTGTTGAGTCCATATCCCACGCCTGAGAACTCTGAGAAATCCATTTATGGCGCTTCCTCTCTGTCAAATAACAAAAATATTAGTCAGCAGCAAGCAAGATCTGAATGCCCTGCACCTGACACACCTGGTAATGGTATGTCAACATCACATTTGCTTGCAGGGTTCGAAAATGCTAATGATACTCACAGTAATGCTTTAACAACTGATTTTGGCAAGTCGAAGGTTACAGAACAGCCCCATGATCCCGGAGTTACCATGGTTAGCGAAGCGTTATTAATTTTCATTTTCACATGCTCTGTTTTCAATTTTCTCCTTTGGCTTGATATGTTGTTCATGTGGTAAAAGAGTGGAAAAAAACCTTGAAATCCTTTTTTTTTTTTTTTTCTTTTTGATTTTATCTTCTAGTATAGTTTGTTTTAGCTTTAGAATTGATGTCGGTCTATTACTATTTTATAAGTTTCAGGCAAAACCCATGTCACTTAAATCATTGGAGGCATCTGTTGTCACCATGGTTGATGAGGCAGCCACAGCAGTCGGTGTGGATATGGCCGCCATGAACAAGGGTGGTCTGCATCCAAGAAATTTCTTTCCACAAACTGGAATGACTGGAGTTGAGAAAATGAGATACCACATGAGTGCTTTTGGTATATTAGCTATAATAATTTGGTTCATTATAATAGTGTCTGTATGAGCAGTAGCAAACAAAATTTCAAGCTTTTAACGTTTGGATAAAGGAGGAAAGAGCCATTGGTTATAGCATGGATTTCTCTCCTAACAAGCAATGACTATTGACTGATGATATTATTATGAGAAATTGTTGACAAGTGTTTGCTTATTTAATGGTTTTTGAACTTGTTTACATGCTTATCAAACATAATAGGTTTTTGAACAAGATTGGCTCTGTTAAATTCCAAACTTTGCCATGTAATTTTAACCTAATTATTTTGACTAAAACACTACCAGAACTTTGATTTTAAGTGATGACTTTCGACAATCATTTTTGAAAAAGTGAAAGTATGGCTTAAGTAATTTTAGCCCACTATTTTAAGAAATTTTTATTGAAACATTTATGCTCTTATATTTTGTGAATACATATATAAAATGAAAGTTGATAAAATCATTTGTAAATTACTCAATATCATCAATTTACAACCTTGCACGAATTTAATTTTACTTACTGAAATTTTAATTTGAAAATTTTAATTTTAAAATTAGCGTTGAACTAATATTTCATTATTTGTTGTCAAGAGAAATTTTATTTATTAATCTTAAAATGATGATTTATAATTATTATATATCAAATTCAAGTTTTATCTACTGATAATTTATTTCATTTTATATTGTATTTTTCTTGATAACATGTTGATTGGTTAAGATTGATTTTCTTCTTACTTGTTTATTTAACTAATTATGTTTGATAAAAGAATTTGATTTCTTCTTAAATGGAATTTGAGTTATTTGTGTCTTGGAAGAAAATTAAATAATTTAGTTAAGTTATATATTGATCAACTAATACTTTATTATTATAAATAAATGAATTACAACTAGAACTATTAAATTATAAAAAAATTATAATAATTTTAGATTCTATATATAGATACGACATAAATTTATAAAAAAAACAATATAATATAATTTTAAATTTAATAAAAATAATATATAATTTTAAAAATAAAAAATATATTTTGTATTTGATACATGACATAATAACTTCATCCATATTAAATACAAATAAAAAGTATCTAATTACAACTCTTCGATAAGTTGGTCGGCAAATTAGAAAAAATCACAACCTCGATTTTATATCAATTTTGTAAAAAAAATCAAAGATAAAAATATCAAAAGATCACTTTTACTTTACAAGTTTTTATAAAAACAATAATAACATGTTTGTTTTGAAAAATAAATTTAAGATAAAAAATTATTTTATTTACAAATGAAATAATATTAGGACTCGATCCAAAATCAATAATTTTATTGAAGTAAAGGAACCAACTCTTATTACTTAAATTATTTTTATTATAACATAAAAGTGGTTAATTTGGAAATAAAAATACATGATTGCAAAAATAATGTCAATATGTATATAAAATATAAAATTTGAAAGAGAAAAATTCAAAAGTGTAAGGAAGAAACAACAATAAAAGTAAAAATTGATAAAAAAAAAAGTCAATTTAGGGTTTTTTTTTTTTTTTGGCAATGGTCATTATTTGTAGACATGTCTCTTTTCCATTCACTTGTGTACAACACGTGACTTTCTTTCTCTCCTTGCTTACTAAGTTTCTTCTTTCTCCTCCTTTTCTCTCACTCTCTTTCCAACCAAACAAATAAATCTATTTGATTTTCCTTCTTTTACTTTCTTCTAATAATGTTTATTTATACGTGAGAATTGGGTAGTTTTCCAATTCTGTCAAAAAGAAACAACAAAGAAATTTTATAATTTATTCTCTGTATACTCAAAGATAATCTGAGGCGTGGGTTTAATTCAATCTGGGATTTGGTTTTTTGAAAAAAAAATCCTTGAGGAATTTTCGAAGCGGATCTCTCTTGGGAGCGCTTCTTTGAGGTAAAAATTTCAAATTTTTATAGGTTTTACGGTTCTGTTGCCTTAATTTCCTCGAAAATCTTACCTGGGATTATGTTTTTGACTGTAAGAATAAAAGATTTCATTTTTTTTTATTTAATATCAACAGGTAATTAACTTTGTATATTTTTTAATCTTTTTGCTTTGAAAAAAAATTAGAAAGATTGATAGAATATTTGGATACCCAATAATGAAAGCAACCCCCAAAACCCGATTATTTCTATTAAACATAGTTTAAATCATAGATTTTGTTAATATTTATGATTCTCTTTCTCTTTGTTTTTTCATTGAATAATATATGATAAAGTTCTAGTTATGGGGCTGATTTCATTGGGAAAGTGTCAAATATTTAGCTAGAAAAGTTTCAAGTGCAGTTGTTTTTGGTTAGGAGGCTCAACCTTTTAACCGTGAGCCTTGGTAGCATTCTCAGAAGCCAACTAACAATTAATTCTTTAGTGAATAGCAATTGGTTGAGTATTAGCATTGCTTTCCAGTGATGTGCTGGTCTAGTGGTGAAAGTAGTGGTGTTTTAGTGAGTTACAGTCCTCCTTAGGCTTATGAGCAATGGCCTAGGACAGAGAGAAAAATCGGAATCTTAACAGCCTTGTGAAGAAGGGTTACCTAGTATTAGTATTAAATCAACCAAATTGACATCCAGTTGTAAAATTGTGGTTTACATAGCAAACTATCATGTTCAACTTAAGTCATGGTTGTAGGGTGTCTGTGAGTGTCTAGTAACATGTCCTGTCATTTTGTAAGAGCGCGGCAAATGATGTATACTTTCCAATTTATCTTACAACGTTAACAAAAATGAAATCCTGCTCTTATGCATAAATTTATGGTTACAAAAACTGTGTTTTACCAGGAATTTCGTGTCAAGAGAAGGGAGGTGTTTGTTGAAAAGAACTTTGTCAAATGTTTTGCATATTTGAGTAGTGATTTATGTCCAAACTAGTTTTTCTTTTTCACTTCCTTTAATTTATGACAAAAAATTTGATCTGAATTGTTTGTGACTTTTCTTTTCTCCTTTGGTGTTGTCAGAATTTGATGGATAGCAATAGCTGGAGGCCTACTCCTCCCAGTGGAGAGCCCACTATGGATGCAGGTGATTGGAGAACCCAGTTGCAGCCTGATTCACGACAAAGAATTGTTAACAAGATGTAAGTGAATTTTGTGGTCTTATTATTTGTTAAATATACTTGTTGTATTTAAGTTACTGATATTCTGTGGATTGTCTTTCATAGTTTTTCAATATTGTTAATAACCAAACAATACCATCAATAAAACCATATTTCCTATTCCTTAGCGCTTTCTTTGTTTTGTAAATACATAGCTCGAGAATCAAAGCTTGCTCTTACCCAGAGTTTGGGCACAATATATAGGCCACGTATCTGGAAGCCTGATGTGGCTAAGCTATTGGGTCCAATTCTGTGTGGCATACTTGGTATCGACATTTAATGAATTTATGTGATTGAATGAGGATAAATTTTGCTTTTAAATCTTTTGCTTCTTGTAAGCTTGGGACTTGTTTTCTTATTTGAGTGCTACTGTATATGGATTGATGGTTCTCTTTTCTTCTTACTAACTGAGTTATACCCATTCATTAAATAACTTATAGCTGTAACAGACACTAGTGGCCTTGCTTTTCTACATCATTTTATAAACAATGGTAATTTTGGTACGTGGTCTATTTGAATGTAGCTGATATATGAAGGTCATGATGGCCACTTTGTTTATTTGGGAGAACTTTGTTAAATTCCTATGCCGTGGCTTCTGGATATTTGAATGATACAGTCCTGAACAAGTTAATGAGGAAAATCTTTTGGTGGTCAGATTATATCCTGGTTAATTTTCATTTGATTTTATGTTAACTTCGCAATTTGGTCATGGCATTGTTTTATTAACCATGGAAGATTCTTATATATATCCTATTGGTTTGTCAATAACTTACACAATGCCTTGTGTGCATAGAATGGACACATTGAAGAGGCACCTTCCATTTTCTGGCCAAGAGGGTTTAAATGAACTCAGGAAAATCGCATTAAGGTTCGAGGAAAAGATTTTTACAGAAGCAAACAGCCAGGTAATCATAGAATATCGGCATTCCTTAACCTGCTTGGATGCATTGTTGTTTACCTATATTTTGTTTGTTTGCGTTGTGTGTATGTATCTTTGTGTTTCTTTTTTTTTCTTATTCATATGTGTAGACATGCATACACCTAGACTTCTTGTCAATTACATTGGAAGTAAATAAGAAAGAAATCCAGGGAGGAAAGAGAGCAGAGGTAGGAAAAAACAAAGATGCTAGATGCTAACTCATTATTAAGCATGGTTAATATAACATATTCGATAATCTTGTCTTGTATTTGAATAATGAAGTAAAGCTTGTTTACTCTAATGCCGTAATGGATTTCTATATTCAGTCTGATTATCTGAGGAGAATATCCTTGAAGATGCTTACTATGGAGAACAAGTCTCAGAATACTATGCCCAACTTTGGGAATAACAGCAAGCCCCCTGATCCAGGTAATAGCAGGAAACAGCATTTTGCTTTGATGTATTCTACAAGTAGGACATTTTCCGTTTACATGTCCTTTCTGTTCTTTAACACGCAGAGTTGTTTAACTTGCAACATTTATGCACATATTCTTTCTGCAGCTATTTGAATGAAAATTACCTATATTTTAACTCTTTTGTCCCCTTAACAAAGCGTGGTTGTTTTGGTGGGTTGGAGTTGTTTAAGGGATTGATTTGATGA